AGAGCAAATAAACGACGGTCATTTGAGCCCGAAGCCTTGTACGAAGACCTCGTCAGATGCACAAAGGCGAAGGAGTAAAGCTTCCGTGTAAACACATCGCTGGAAGGCCACCGCTCACGAACTACACGCAAGACAGATTCACGGCGCCACGTCGTCATGACGATCGTATAACTTCGTTCATCCCTAAGCTGACAGCGCGGTGGGAGCTACGAGCTTCCTAAAACCAATCAACCACCTCCCTTTGATCACCTGACCTGTCCCTTTCTCTGCGCGTGGGTATGGACGACAGCGCGGTTACGTGGCGAAAGATAGGCGTGTGACTGTTACAGCGAGCACTTAACTTCTACCGCACTGTCAGCTTAGGGATAAACGGCTTACAGGTAAAATTCCGTGTTTTCGGAGTTCAGTTTTCGTCAAAATCGGAGGGTGTTTTTCGGAGTTTATTTTTTTTCTCGAAAATTCGGAGTTTATGGAGTTTATTTTGTTTGATTTCAAAATCTCCGAAATTCGGAGCCTAATTTTGCAATGTTTCTTATGAAAAAAAAAAAAAATATCCGGGCGTATACTATGCTAGATAAGGAAAAAGAAAACGCGCTTATATCAAATATTTCTTCAGCTGAGTTTGGTGTGTGCCATTGCCATTGGCAATACTAATTTCTCCCATGGCAAAAGTTGCACACATCTGTGGCTTGGATAAACATCAATACCTTAAAAATAAACTCGTGGAGGCGCTCGCTGGGAGCACGTATTAATCCCATCCTATTTCATGCTACCCTGCGGCCGCGCAAGGTGGAGTGGTAAAGGATGGAATACGGAAGTTTCAACTACCCCTCTTCCAATTTTATGCAATCTCTGTGATCTATAGCTTTGACTGTCACAAAAACACAACCTCTCTTCCTCTTAAAACACAAACAGCATGGCCCAAACTGGAAACCAATACAGGGGCTTTTGTCGTGACCGGAATGCACAATGACATGTCGTTCTGAACCTTGACGAAATGATCGGTAAGACCCCTTTTTGTCAATGAACCGAGATTTGAAAGATAACTGTGCTGTCAATTTCCCAGGACCCTTGAACCTTTGCGGTGATCAAACTTAATTATAAAATACCGTCTTTATTTAGTTTATTGGAAAGGGGGGGGGGGGACATTGGAAAGGGGGGGGGGGACATTGGACATCAAAATTCGGAATTTATCGGATAAATCCGAATTGACCAAAATTTTACCGGCGCGTGTTTTTCGGAGTTTTTCGGCTTTATCCGAAAGCACGGAGCCCTACTTATAGGCAACAAGGCGAGGGACGCATCACCAGTGAGGTCAGCACATTTTAAACCTGAAGAGACAGGACAAAGAGATCCCCCAACTTCTTGCTCTTTCGTCAAGCAAGGTAAATCCGCAAGCTTCGACCATTGCGAACAACGAACGACCGGAATAAATAGTTAATTCCAAATGCCTTGTCAATGCCCCAGAACGTTTCGTCTGTATGCTTGGCCTTGTTAAGTAAACGTGCTTTTTGTAGTCGGAAAAGACAGGAATCAAGAGAAGCAACTGCCGCTCGTGGTATGCCTCGCTGCCTTTCCTTGGGAAGTTTATCCGGGAATTAGCCACCGAGCAGATATCGCCACCCGTTTGTTGGAAAGTAGACATTTTATGAAGCTCGAGCCATCCCTTTCTTCAACTGGCGGCGCTTCTGCCTAGCAAATATCCAGCCCCCTTTTGTGACAACGCCAATAACTTGGGCTCATCGGGTGTTTGGGAACAATACTCCTTGAGTGGGATGACCGGGACTACGTCAGCTAGTGCTCCTGGGAGAATAGGATTAGATTGCGTCTGAGGCGGAAGAGAACCGTTTCACTTGATGACTCACAGTAAAAACGAACTCACATGGCCGAACTTAACATACTGATAAGAACTAAAATTTCTAAATCAAGACGGAAACATATCACCCTTTAACTAAGTACCTTCACCGTTTAATGAACATCGAAACCGGTGAGTTGACTGTCTTTGAGCCACACCTAAGGAAGAAGCTAGTCGTAATGTTTAACATTTTGTTCGTGTGCGCCAGCAAAATGACTGCTTAGAATGGTTCACCTTTTGGCGCATAAGGTTGTTGCAGTGTAAACAGGAAGATCTGAGTTTTGGTAGATATACTGTAAATAAAATGAGCACAAATTACTGCCTCAAGCTATTGAAACGTAATGTCAAAGTAATTTAATTACTTCTAGAAAGTGATGGTAAAGTCATCACTTTTAGTCCGCGGTAATTTGTAATTTAATTTAATTACATCTTTGCAGTTTTAAAGAAAGTAATTTGTAATGTCATTTAATTACTTATTAAAAGTAATTTTGCCACCTCTGCAAAGTACACACATGGCGGCGCCCACTAGAAGACCGGGGAACGGGGTTCCAATACTCTCAGCATGGCTCATTTAGTGGCTCTTTGAGTGCTGATAGTCTAAGCGTACCTCAGCAAGTGGCTCTAGCGCAGACTTGTGCCTATCTCAAATATTCTACTCAAGATACTTTATTTCAAGCACATTTTTAAGTATCTTGGTATCTTGGAAATACTTTTAATCGAGAGTATTTGATGCTTTATTTTAATTACATTTCTGACTACCTTATACTCATTATCTTAAATACATTTATGACATTCCGCCATTTTCCTAGTTTTTCGGTATGAAGTGGCATGGTCGTGGCACAAACAAGCGTGAACATTCTTTCGAGCAACCAAATCCTGTTGCTAGCTCCGATAAGCTACGGTGACTTAGATTGAGCACGTGAAAACTATGCATATTAAGCTGATTGTGACTCATATTTCACCCCAAAGTTCGTACAATTAAGGTTTTCTCTTCGCCTTCCCAAAGGCGCCTTGTGTTTCCTAGAGTTTCCCCTCAAAAAATGCTCATGCAGAAGGGGTGGTTTCACGGAAGTAGATGTGACTACACTGATGCGCAACGCAGAATGGGAAACGTGGGAAACGACCCATGACAACAGAGCACCTCAGTGTCAAAAGTATAACAAAAAATAGAAGAAAATGAGAATGATTACAAAAAGAGGACACTGTTTTTGCTGGTTGTATATTTAACTTCGATAAGGCAAAACGTCGAGTTTTTGTTTGTTTGTTTTCTTTTTGTCATCAGTCCAGAACTTATTTCTCTCGCAAACACTGTCTGTAAGCGAACATTGATAAGCAGAGAAAAAAACAGGAAACTAACTACGAGCAAGATGACCTCTCAAAATGCCAACAAAGCGTCCCCCAACGTTGAGTGCCTTTCTGAACGCAACTTACTTGAAGAACGTGCGACCAGTGCTGTGACATTATGTGAGCTCTCTTTGTTATCCATTCACTCATTTCCGTATCCCAAGTTCGTTCATAATGAATTCCTCATATAGGGAATATGGATTGTAGCAAAACGATGCCTCTAAGGTCCGCCGGACGACAAGATATTCAGCGATATCACTAAATATAAAGCGGCCTTTTTTTGTCCCACAACCCTTTTGTAACTTGTTAGTGATATCCTGCTCCTTATATTTTGACTGCTAAGTATTCATCTACGTTGTTGTTGTTTTTGTTTTTTTGCCATTTTGTGTTGTTTTGTGCTAACAAACCATTCAGGTAAATCAGATTTGCGCAACTGTCACTGACGTCAATACAAATTACACAATCTGGAAGTATCTTCAGAAGTGATTGAATTTCATTTCTATGCATTTGTACTCTACTCAAGATACTTTACAGTGAAAGTAACTTGAGTAGTATTTTAAATACCTTATGAAGCGGGTATTGAGTAACTTAACTTAAATACTTTTATCGAGTATTTTTTTCAACACTGCATGAGAGTCTAGCCCTCGCCTTTTTTATTTTTTTTTTATTTTCTGTAGAGAGACTGCTGGTATTGCAAGAAGATTGGAATCGTGCAAGTATCGGTTCAAAAACATATTAAAAGTTAATAAAATAAAGCTCTTTGTTCATATACTTCGTGGACACCACAAGAATAGACGCTTCAAGATATAAAAGGTCTTCTAAGCCTATGCTGCACAATAGGAAACACTGTTATAATCAACCCTATCGGAGCTCTACAACCAATCGTATAAATGACACTTTTCTTCTTTTTTTTTCGTGAATGAACTCGTAAAGTTTTAGATACTCAGAGTCTGTGTATAAAGTATGTAGCCCTACTTCCCTGGCTTCCTGACTGGCATTAAAAATATATAAATCATTTTAATGGTGGCTTCAAAAGTGTAATCTCACCTGAGATTGCAAAAAACAAATTAGACGTTAGTTGTTTAGTCCGCAGAAACTTAGACTGCCATGGTATGGCGACGATATTATCAACTTTGAACCAGAATTTTAGCCAGTGCCGTACGACTGCTAGCCGAGGGTCTTCAACATGCATCGCGACATAACGACCGCACGCTGGTGCGATTCTCATACAGAGCGGAACGTGCAGGGGTGGGGATTGAGAGCATGATCCCTTTTTGAGTCGGAAAAAACAAATTAGTCGTTAGTTGTTTATACAGCAGGAGTTTAGTCTGCCAGAACATGGCGACATTGTTACCCACTGTAGATGAGCAATTTAGCCAGTGCGGTACAACCGCTAGCCTGGGGTCTTTAACGTGCACCACGCAGTAGTGATACACGACCGCACGCCGGTACGATGCTCATCCAGATCGAAACGGGCAGGGGTGGGGCTGGAAACCCAGGATCCATGGGTTCTGCAGCGCGAGCTTTCGCTCCACGCGAAACCTAAGAAAAAACGACGAAAGCGAAGTCAGGGTCTCCACAATAACAACAGCCAACGTCCCTCCGACGATACTCAACCATCCACACGCCGTGCTAACGTCGCGGAAACATGCTGGGGACGCGAAATGTCCGCAGTCAAGTGGCTGTGTTTCCAACGTCCGTCTAGGTTCGCGTTACGGGGAGTGAAAGCGCCGAGTGCGGTTATCGTTACCTCGCTGCTATCCGATACATGCGAGGGCACTCGAAAGCGATATGCCGCTCCAATCTCATCTTCCGCTGCGGTCATATAGGAGGAGATCGGCGTTGCCAGTCGGTTGTTGTCCGCGGTTCGTCGTGAAGCGACGCAGCGACCGCAGTCTGAAGATCGCCTGATTCAATTCGACGCAGTGACCCCAAAGCAGCGTTGAAGGCAAGCAAGCGTAAACCGGCCCTGGACGGGAGTTTGCTGCGCTAGGATGGGGTTGGCGACCGTACTCGTTTTTGTAGTGGTAGGCTGCGCGGCAGCCGCGCCGCCCTTCCAAGGTCAACCCAAATGCGGATATGAGGTAAGTTGCGCCTCATCGCTATATGGGGTATTCAGATGACGTTAATGTGCCAGTTTGCTGTTTGATTCCGGAGTGATTAAACATAGTATGTGACTAAGCATTTGAGGCTGCTATCTAAATGTTTCGAATGTTCACTTTCGCCGCGCGCCAGACATCTCATAGTAACAAAATGGTGGACGAAATTAAGTCACTCAATTTTCACTCTTCCATCTTGATGTCTTAGCGTGAAAAATGGCTTTAACGGTCCTCCAGCTGTAAATGTTAATAGTGCAAGCTACGCGTCAATGGGGTAATACAACAACCATTCGAATAGTGCATAAAAAGACCCTGCGGCCTGATGCTTTCGTGGTATACTGTTCGTGCAATGGAGCGGTGTGTTTGCAACCGCTCCAAGAGTGTGAACATGTGTCTAAAGATGCTGCTGTCGCGCAATCCGTGACGACACTTTGCGGTTAAAGGGGTGGTGTAACCACGATAAACTGTAATCACGATCTGCTCACAGAATGGCTCCCCATGGTAGACGCTGTCGCCGATGAAGTGTCTCGCTTTGCCAAAGGGGGGAGGGGGGGGAAGGAGCTCGGTAGAGGCTTTTCTGCGACCCAAACGCGGTTCACAGCCTGTCTAGCGCAGGACGCGCAGGTCGTGATATCTGGGTTTTTTTTTGTTTTTTTTAAACATTTATAGTAGCGTATTTTAACACTTATTGTGGCGTACAGGCTGCAGTAGCAGTAGCACGTAACAGGGCGCGTCCCTCTCATGTTTTACGTTGCTCATGTTTGCTTTTATCGAAAGAACGCGTTCCTCAGGCACGTAGCGCAAAGGTCTTTTTTTTTTTTTTATCTACGACTGCTCTTGTGCCATAATCAAAATAAGTCGCGTTCTCGGATCACACTTGAACAGCCACTGTGCTGCCAGCCGGCGCCTCTATGCTCTGTTCACCCTTAAAGCGAAACTGAAGCGGTTCTGTACTTGAGTAAAAACACATGAATCGTGTTCATTAAGCTTCCAGGATCACAAATGTCTAGATTATTTTCCAATTTGGTGCACGGACCTGATATTGTCCGTCCACCAATGATATAAAACGAACATGATATTCAGATTGGCGAGATAAAACTACTCTAGAATTCACCTCTAACTCGTTTTTGTTTTCAAGAACCTCTTTAGCTTCCCTTTAAGCTGAGAATAGAAGCTTCACCACCTTCAGCGCGATCTTTCTCGCCCTTGCTAACCCAAGTATGAACGCGCAGGCACGCGCAACCAAAGCATTGCGGAAGCCAGGGAGCTCGCGCTGGAGGCGGCGCTTCTAGTCTCAGCTTAAGGGTGAACGGAGCATAGTGACAATTCGAATATGTCAAGCGCCCACTGGTTGACGAGGCTGACGAGCCTGACGAGATGCCGCGATTAAAGCAGGTCAGGACCAGAAAACGCCGCCAAGCCTTGCGCGCCTTCGATGGACATGCGAATACCCTAGGTAACAAAAAAACCTTCATTCATTCATTCATTCATTCATTCATTCACCTTTATTACCAAAACTTAAGGTACTCTGGGTGGATAGCAAGGCTAGGCAGATAGGCGGGGCCAGTAAGCGTGAGTGTCTGCTAGCCAGCCACCCAGAGAAAGAGAATTAAATTGAAACAAAACAACGACAGAAGAACAAACAACATAAAGGAGCATCGGCCCGGATACGTGAGAGTGGAGACTACATCACCGGATACGAAACCCATGCACCGGAATCCCAGCGCCGCCAGGGTCGGGAAAGCACGGCGCAGAGGTCGGGCACGAGTGACGCGCCACACCCGACCGAGACCCGTGTGCTTACGAGTCTCAGCAGAGCACCGACGCAAACTTCGCACCCAATCCGCGCCCGCCGCCACCCCTGACGACGCAGAGACCCCAGCGCGAGGACCCCGACTTCAGGTGTCGCAGCAGGGGGACACCCCATTGCTGGCGGAGGCGTGAGAATTCACGGCAAAAGGCGGCTGAGTCAGTCCGGCTTTGCGGCAGTGGAGCTAGAGCGAATTGACGTCGGGAAGTCATAGCGTGACGAAACGCTGCGACCGCGGCAGTGTACTACAAGGTCCGCGCCGGCACACTTTTTTATGGGCAGGTCAGGATTACAGTAGGTCGTGGGTGCGGCGATACTTGTACTTTGCGCAAATATCACTTAGAATGAATCTGTGACATTTATAACCTATGAAACATCAGTTTTAGAGCGCAGCTCTTAGGCGTCCGTTTCCGGCTTGAGCGGCGTCGCCGTTGCCGTCGGCGTCAGCGTATCCGCGCGGTGCATTATGGGAAATGTCCTATAATGCACCGCGCAGGACCGTCGTGACGTCACTCGTGACGTCACGTGTGACGTCACGAGGGTCCCGCGCGGTGCATTATGGGACATTTCCCATGATGGAACGCGCGGGGAGGAGCAGGAGAGGGCGAGGGTGAGGGGAGGAGGTCGAGAGGAGGGGAGGAGGAGGAAGAGGAGGAGGGGAGGGGAGGAGGAGGAAGAGGAGGAGGGGAGGGGAGGAGGAGGGAGGAAGAAGCTAAGGGAGGAGGAGGTGGGAGGGGAGGGGAGAGGTAGGAGGAGGGAGGAGGGGAGGAGGAGTAGCAGGGAGGGCGAGGAGGAGGGTATATATTCCCCTCAGTGCCCTTTCCTCCTCCTCCTCCTCCTCAAGAGCTGCGCTCTCATTCGGCGTTACAGGGTGTTGTAAACGTCTTTCATATTTTGTTTCCTGCATAATGGTAGTCGCAGAAACAAGTAGGGAAAAGCGAGTAGCGTTCACACACTCAACTCGCAGCCAGAACAACCGGCCCCGGGGTCTGGATTCAATTATATGCCGCCAGTGTTTATCATATCGACGTGCTGGGGTCGGCGAAGCACAAGACACGCGCCAAGTTCCAGACTTTGTTAGTGTTCGGCAACTGTCGTCATTGTAGCGATTAGGCACGAGCCACTATCCGAACGGTTTTCGAGCTGTTGATTATCACGAGCCACAATCGAGTGCTCACGCAATTTTCGGGTTCAATCTATAAATCTTTGCAAAAATGGCCTTCTGCACGCTGCCATTTTCGTCTGCTGGGCTGTGGAACGCCTTCTGAACATGCGCTGTTGATCTGCTGTGCGGTATATCGGACGCTGCGCATGCGTCCACAGCTCAGTGACTCTGCATTTTTCGCCCGGGTGATAGGCAATGCAAAGGTCTATAAGCCGCATTCAAATATCGTCACTCGGGGATTATACCAGGGGCCCTAAACTCGTCAAATACAAAGTTGGAGCCGAAAGTTCGCGGAGCGCGCCAATTGGACGCTGGTGAAAAAAGTGCGAAGTCATCGTCGTGATAGTGCAATCAGCACGTTCTGCGAACTTCGTGCCCAACTTTATGTTTGACGAGTTCAGCGACCCAGGGGCCCTAAACTCGTCAAACACAAAGTTGGAGCCGAAAGTTCGCGGGACGCGCCGATCGGACGTCGGCGACAGGAACGCGAAGTCATTGTCGTGAATGCGCAATCGGTGCACTCCGTCAACTACGGCCCAAACTTTGTGTTTGAGGAGTTTAGGGCCCCTGCACTGCAACATCCTGGCTACGCTATAAAAAAAAAATTGAAAGAAAACGCTCGCTTTTATGTGTGAAATTACACCGTGTTTTATATTTTTGGTTGTGGGACCTTGTAGGCGCACCTGTCTACGATTTTTCATCTTTCTGCACAGCCTAGCACGCCACCCAAAACGAAATTATTTGCAAACAATAATTATAGTTGTTATTCTTGGTCAGTGGCATTGCGTGCGAGCATGCTTTGCAATGCCACTGACCAGTGAGCTCATGTAAAGTTAAGGACACTCAAACAAAGTATCGTCGCTCCGTTCCTTTAAAGGAACAGTGCGCAGCTGCATGTGGACTTTTTTTCATGTCACACGATTGGATATGTGTCCTAACTAATTTAACTTTAAAAAAAAAGTGGGTTACGACCGAGCCCAGATTGCTAGAAGAGTCTGTGAATTTGGGCGCATTGAAAAAAGGAAATGTTACCATCGCTGTTTTCGATTTGTGTATGAGATTCGTTACTTCATAGTGGTGACGGCGTTTTCTTAAGCGTCACGTTTCCCGATAATGAGATATCAAAAACGCGGTCTTTCCCAATAATTACCTGGCTCATGCTCGCTGAGCCAGGCAATTATTTATCATGCCCAATAGACATGATGAGTGGTCCCTTGGGCGACGGCGTAATCTAATTTCTTCGATATCATCGAGATAATACGTGCTTCCAATCATACGTTGAAGGTGACACCGCTGTCGTTTTGTATGACACGCGTCCACCCCATATCAAGTTCAGTGCTGAACGAAACGAAAAGGAACAACAGAGCGCGTGGCCTCGTGTACCTGTGGCACCATCTTCCAAAAGAACCTGCGGTATCCAGTGTCGCGACTCGCACATGCACACAAGTGAGCCGAGCGCTCAATGGCTGTTCGTGCTCGGTGCGCAATCCCTAGGAGCTGATCGACGCTGGCTATAAGCTTGCAACATGACGTATATTTTTCTTTTCTTTCCAGAGGGGTGCGCATATTTATCTCTTTCAAAAGGTTAAAGCTCTGGAAAAAAAGTGACAACCACTGTAATGAGCACGGTCTTTGACAGTAAATAATTTTGTAGCATTATGAAACGTGTGTTCTTTTGTTAGACTGACTAAAATAAATTATCTTGCTTTTTCGCTGCTTTTCTTCTTTTTTGTTTGTTTGTATATTTAAGACAACATACGCTCATGACTTTTATGACAGATAAATAAATAAATTGGTAGTGGCATGCCATGAAAAAAAAAAAAAGCGGCTACTTTCTTGCTTTTTGTTTTGTTGGAATCAACTATCGGGGATCGCACCCCGAGCCCGAACAGCCGCTGACTACATGGCTCAGCTACGCAGATGCGCGACTCGTAGCACTAAATCGCACGCAGGTGTGGCAGCAGCTGTAGGCGAGGCCACACTCTCCGCTGGTCCATCTCGTTTCGTTGAGCACTGTACCTCAGCAGACTGTGGATATTTCTAACACTCCCCTTATTTTCTACACTCTCTCCCAAAGGTCTAGTAAAATAGAATGTGGAATAGCAAAGAATATAGATGGACAGCGAAAAAGCGGAGGACAGCGAAGAATAATTAATGAAGCCTAGTGAAGAATAGAGAATGAGGCCCAGTAATGAATAGTAATGAAGAGTGCAAAAATAGTGGGTATGCCAAGGCTCAATGCCAACAAATTACTATCATGTAGTCGTTTTGTGCATGCATCGCTGATATATGCGAACATCTTGAGCTTCCTTGATCGTCGCTTTCCTTTTTTTATTCTTTGTGGGGCTGTCATTAGGTTGCGACGGATGTTCTGCACACCTCAATTGCAGGAAACACAATCATAGTGTTTAGGTAACCAGAAAACGGCACATAGCTGGAAGTATCAGGACTCCGTATGTGGCAAGTGTGGCTTGCATTTTATTTTGAACCGTGTTCTTTAATCAATTTCAGAGTTGTCCAGCCACAAAACCGGGAATGCTGAACGTGCACATTTTGGCGCACACGCATCTGGACTTGGGGTGGCTGAAGACGGTGGACCAGTACTATTCTGGAAGTACGCAGTTCGTTCGTTTTTTTTTTTTTTTGTGATCTTACTAGAAAACAGTGCTTCGATTAAAAATAAAGGTTGAGGCATCAAGCTGAATGCACCCCTCCGCGGTACGCTGTAACTGAAGTACAAATATAAAAGGGCTGCTAGACATGCAACTTGAAAAGTGCGCAATAATGGACCGAGATATCGGAACGAAAAATGCGTGGAACTTTTTCCGGGCCTCCGAGCTATTGTGTGTCGTCGTCGGGTCTAGTAAGCATTAGTCAAACAACCCGAACTGATTTTATGCCTTTACGTTTTAATCCTTTTTCTGTCAAGATCTCGGAAAACTTGGACAAAAGTCAAATATTCGATAGCCTCCTTGATACTTCTATAAACGAAACATATACTTTGTTTTACAGCGTAGACTTTTCAGTGTTAGATGTTGCTGTAAGAACACAATATCCTCTCGCACAATATCTTTAGAAAAAGAACACTCGGCGAACAGTAAACACAACTATTTTGATATAGTTCGGTCTGAGAACGTTAACCACTGTAGTCTTTAGGCTACGCAAAAGAGAAGGGGTTTTCAGGCTCTACTTAATATGATCCTACAATGACCTACAGCGAAAGCCACGGGTCGCCAGGGCCCGTCAAGAGTAAAATCGAAACCACCCAATCTATAGACGATTGCAAGCTGGGCGACTGGCCCCAGCCATGTCTCTGCTCGAGCAGGCACGCCTGTGCGATTACGAGCTTGCCAAAGCTACGTTCACCCGCGCGTTGCACGCGGTTGCACGTATGGGGCACCACTTGTGGCGCCATGCTTGCAATTGTCTATAGCTTCATGTTTCTCCGCTTTCATGCGCACATCGGAGCATTAAGCCGGAGTCACACTGCTCAAACATCATACAATAGACAGTCTGCAAACACGAGTCGACGCAATATCCGTGGTTTGAATGCCGCCTGCTAAGTTTCTCATTGAGTTTCTCATTGAACTCATTGCCGTGCGGCATCCGAAGCACGATCTCGCGGTGACTCGCGTTCGAATCTATTTTGTATGATGTATAAGCACTGTGACCCAGGCATGGGTTCTAACTGACTCGTGCTTGGTCCTGGACGCCCGTAGCATTGGTCGTAGTCCATCGTAGGACGAAACTAATATAGACCAAAAAGAACGAGAACACAAAAAAATTGGGTTTCAGTAGACAGGACACGTCAGAGAGTGTGAACAACTAAAACAAAACGAAAAACATTGAATCGTAGATTTACATTTACACGAAATGGAAACTGAGAGCGGTGAGAGCTTTTACAAATAAAACTAGAATTATGAAAACGATAAAAGTTATTGGTTTTTCCAATTCTTATAAGTATTGTATAAAATAAAATAAAATTTGCATAAATATGCCATGCTTAAGTAGCCCTGTAGTCCAAAAGATTCAGGATATTGCGAGCCTTCTATGCGTGCGCCAAAGTGAGAAATTTAAGAAATGTTTGAAGTCAATTTCGTGCTCAGGCACACAGTACAGGCTGAATTATTCTGGTAAGGTATCATTGATCCCTAGCGTTAACTGTCCGAAAACAAAATTTTCAATTCGTTTTCACTCATTGAGACCAGATATATTTTAACTTACTGAAAGCAGCTCTTGAGTAGCACCAACCAATTACAACCACGTCGTTGTGTCATCTGGTGAAACCTCTAAGAAGTGGTATTCAAGAAAAAAATAATAAAGCAAACGCTCAAATAATTTACTATATTGAGAGTGGTAGTGGACGCTGAACTACCGAAAACCTTTCCCTCTATACTCTATCTTATAGCTCCGGTTTCTCTTCTCATTATATTGTCACGAATGACAATTGATGAGGCGATAACTGAAGAAACCAAACGTTTAATGGGGCGAACTTGTGCCCAAAACAAAAAGGGAACAGATGAAAACAGCAGAGCGTCGCGGGCGTCGATGTCGGCGAAACCGCAGGATCGAGCGCTGGGGCGAGACTGACCGCAGATCGCCATGTGGAGCCCCTTATGTACGCGCGTTGGCTTCTGGAACAATCAGCCTAGAAGGTTCGGCGACTAAAACATTCGGAACTCGATCAGACGAGAACGCTGTCGAACTCACGAGAACGCAATGTTGAAAGAATAAATAAAAGAACATTCCACTGACTGGAATCGAACCTAGAGACTTTCCGCGTGACAGTCAAGCGCGGTAACCACTCGGCCACGCACGCGGTCGCTCGCCGACGCGCGTGACCATATTTACAATATTGTTCAGTTAAAAATTAATCACTCGTTTTTGTTTTTAGAGATATGTGTCTATTTAAATACAAAACTCAAACACACAAGAGATCATTGTCTAACAATATAAAATAAAATTGCCTGAATTATCAGTTTTTCCATCCGTTCTTGGAACGAGGTCTTTCTTTCTCTTTCCCATTCGGCTTAGAGTGTTTGACGCTAAATTTGTCTGCTTGTTTTAGGTGCTTATTCATCTGTTAAGTATTTACCGAATCCTTTAGGTTCACACGCTTACCGGTATACTATGTATACTCCATTTTTTCTTTATCTCACAGGTAAAAACTACCTTGCAAACGCCGGTGTCCGTTACATATTCGACGGCATTCTTCCTGAACTGGAGAAAGATCCCAGTCGCCGCTTTATATATGTCGAGACAGGCTTTTTCGACATCTGGTGGAGACATCAAACCGACTCCATCAAAGAGCGTTTCAACAAACTGGTGCAATCAGGTAATGCCTATTATGCCTTACACTCTAAAAAAAAGGGTATCACCTTACACCCTTTTGTCCCATATAACACACCTCAAAACTTCATTTCGACGTACAGCGCCCTAGAGTCGAACAGACGGCACGAAATTTTACCAGGGGCTTGATAACGGTGCAATATAACTTATTAAATTGCTAAAGCACGTATCAAAGACCAAAGAAAGAAAACATGAAGCTTTTGCAGTGCGGCCAAGAAAACTCTGATAATCTTTTTTGTAGTCAATAATACGTACATCAGCTATCTTAATAAGTTGTACCACACGGCTATCAAGCCCCTCGTAAACTTTGGGGCCGCCTGTTCGATTATGGGGCGCTGTACGTCGAATTGAAATTTTGGGGTGTATTATATGGGACAAGGGGTGTAATAATACACCTTTTTTTCTGAGAGTGATGCGATACATTGTATACAATGTATCGCATCACGATTTTACGTGTCTGGAAAATAATATTCAAAACAAGTGGAATAGATGATTAGTATATGTATATATGTGTGGTTAGCTGATCTTTGCGGTAAGTCGGCTATTTAATTAAAGTTTGTTAATTAACGTTTTAATTAGTGAAAATAGACATACGGTTCCAATTAGAGACTTACTGAGCGTGATCCAAACCACTAAATCAACTTTTTTATGACGACTTGAAGCTCGTAGGAAACTCGGGGCGCACCAAAATTACCGCTCGTGCAGCAGGCGCAAAGCTAGCAGTGGTGAAACGCGGATGATAACCTAATCATTCGCTTTCCGCAACTGCTAGCTTTTCGCCTGCCGCGCGAGTAGTAACTTTGGTGCGTCCCCGAGTTTCCCACGAGTTTCAAGTCCTTCTAAAAAGAGTTAACTTAGCGGCTTTTGATGATGCTCAGTAAGTCTCTAATGGGAACTAATGTGTATTTTTACTAATTAAAAATTAATTAACGAGATTTAATTAATTAGCCGACTTATCGCAAAGATTTGCCACCCATATAATGTCCCCCTGGCAGTATAACTCACCCGCACAAACCGCATAAGTGAAACTTTGAGTAAGACGGATGTGAATTCGCTGAACATGTAGATGCAAAAGCAACGGTTAGTCATACCATGTACTTTTAGATACATTCTTGATTAGTGTTTGAACATACTACTGGCAGCTTTGTCACTAATGCATAGAGCTTTAGGCACACTTCAGGCGTAATTCATAAACGCGGTTTTATTAATGCACTTGTTCACTTTCAGGTCAACTGGAGTTTATCAGCGGCGGCTGGGTGATGAACGACGAAGCCGGTGTCCACTACTCGAACACCATCGACCAAATGACGTACGGTATTCGGAGACTCAAGGACCTGTTCGGAGACTGCGGAATTCCCAGGATTGGCTGGCAGATTGACCCGTTCGGACATTCGCGAGAATACGCATCCATCCTTGCACAGGTACGAAACGAGAACATCGCTTAACTATTTTGCGGCCTTTGCGTTTTTTTTTTTCTTCTTGTTAAATATTGCGTTAATTCCACTATACCGTTTAAGTAGCCACATATCAATGGGTTTTGAATTAGCCCAGCCACCGACTAGATATATAATATTCAACTGAGTGGCTACACGATTTTCATCCATATCAGGACCTATACTCGGCGTCAACCCTTCTGTGTTAGACTAAAATCTAGCGTAGCTTCCACGGTGCTGCAGACCCGTACTGCTGCGAGAGCACGTGCCTTTGTTTTAGGTCTCGTTCGCATGCGCTCGAGCAAGTCGCTCATTTCCCTCTACTACGCATTTATACATAGTCATCTTAACTACTGCATATCTTCGTGGGGAAATACTTATCGCACACATTTGTCTCCATTGCAGCACGTCCAAAATCAAGCATTTTGTATCATCACCTTTAGTCACTTTTCATCTGATATTTCTTGGTTTTTCCGTGCTTTTAATATTTTATCTGTTAGCAATTTAAATAAACATACCCTCGGGTTACTTGTGTATAATTTCGTGAACGGCAAACTCGCTCTAACACTTCTTAACGATAATCAGTTTCCACAGCATAAGATAACTCGATTCGCATTTCATCATAACTTGTTATTGCCTAAGCCTAGGACTAACTACGGTAAATTTACCACCAACTTCTCAGCCACGGCTGTGTGGAATTCATTACCTTTAGCCATCAAGCAATCACCATCAATTCACGTGTTTAAGCAGAAACTTCGCATATTTCTTCAGTCCTTTTAGTCATACATTGCTGTCATGACGTCATTGTGTATCTCTCTTTTTGATAATTGCCGTTTTGTCTCATATTATTGTCATTAGTACTGCATTTCACTTATTCTCAAAATTGATTTGCAATTCCAACTGTTATAACCTTGCTCTGTTTATTCAGTGTTATTTTATTTATAAGTTTATAATTATTATGAGTGTTTAACTTACTGTTATTTTGTTCATTTTATATCACTGCAATAAGTTCTGTGTTTCACTTATTCATGTCATAATTTATTTTCTATTCTGACTGCTGTAAATTTGTTTTATTATTATTGCTACCATTAACAGGAGGTCCCTTTCCAGTCTCTGACTCTGGGACCTCCTTCTGTAATATTTCTAATGTATTTACCTTTGATCTACGCACAATAAAACCAACCAACCAACAAAGTTGGAGCACTGCGACAGCTACTCCCTTGACACCGTAGTACAAAATAACTGACGCCGGTTATAGTCGTTTTTTGTTTCCCGTCGTTCTCACTTATGTGGGTTCCGTATCGGGTATTCGGGACGAAAAAATGATAAATCATTTTAATCTGTAATATGCCAGAAATTATAGGTGAGCCCAAACAAGAATGTGTGATAATCACGCATTTTTTCGTAAACACCTTCCAGCGGCGTGGACAAGTCAAAACGACGTTTTACCGCATACTAGAATTGACGACATTCAAGATTACTGCGCCCCTGTGGAAAATCTGTATAATGCTTACATTACATGGAAATAATCTTAAAAAGGAGGGAGATAATATACTACTGAGGCATTCTTCCCCTACTTTTCAAAATATATCGCCTTTACGTGATTCTCTGAGTGTCACGGAGGTGGTAATTAGAAAAAAAAAAAAAAAAACTTTAGCTCTGGGCATTTGATAAATTAACCTACCAATTAATCGATTAATGCTTTAATCGCGATTAATTTTTAACCGGTTAGTCAGTTAGATTTTGACAGACAAACAACAAAGTAAAAATTTAACGCGTTCCCCACGGAGACGGGGAGGAGCACACCTGTATGAAGGCAAACTCGAGGTGAAATGTTGACTTAGAGTAAACTGCAGGGGCGATATTTGTAACTCCAAACGAGTGGATAAGGTTACACGTGTAGAGGCCGCTTGAACGCCGCGCGAGTGTCTGTCTACCGCAGCAGAAACTATTGCGAACAATGAAAGGAGTTTGCTATTGCCGGAAAATGTCAACGAACCTCTTTGCCCCTGTGGGAATAATTTCTGTGTGGATGTCTTTTCGCTGTTGTCAACTGCAGATCGAGGTTGATTTAAAGTCTTAAAATTGTGTATTGCGCCTTTTATCACATATTCAACAAAGGCCATTGAAACGTTTAATTTTGAAATTTTTTAAAATATATTATGTATGGCAATGAACCAAACCGATTAATCGATTAATTATTCGATTAAAGGAATTAGAACAGAACAAAAAATTGTTTATGATTTTTTTATGAAACTAGGACCAGGTTTCTATACTCCGTCTCAACATAAAGAGGGAAAAGGCCGACTGCATAGACCACAGCCAATGAGGGCGCCACAGCGAAGCACGTGACAGCGCTTCACGGGTGTGCATTGAAGTGGTCCGTTCTCGCGTGCCTCGTTCTGACGCCGTAATTTTCGCACTGGTGGCGTGGCTTCTATTGTTTGCCGAGTTATGGTGGAAAGAAATAGAGATTGTAAAGTAGTTAGTAATATCGTATCTTTCAGAATATAGTCCGCACTTGGTGCATAGTCCGCAGGGGCATTTTTGGAGTCAAAAATATATGTTTTGGCTTCGATAGTCCACATGCGGTGGACAGACCGGACGCCGTGCATAGTCCGAACGCAAAAATTATCATACACAGCACACCTAAACAAATGCCTGCTGTATTAGCTCACAAAGAAGCTTGTATCATACATGAATCAACATTAATGTACTCCGTTATTCATAAAATTCTTTACGTCTTGTCACAGTGAACGATTAAGAAAAGAAAATAAATCCTCGTAGAGTCCGCACCTGTAGATAGTCCGCATCGGGTAGAATTTAAACTTTTAAACATCTATAGTTCCCGGTCAATAGCCCGGAAAATACGGTACTACTCGAACAAAACGTATAGTTTGGCCATACCCCCAAATACCGCAGTATTTAGGATGCATTCGTGGTAAAATATAACGTTAAATGTATTGGGAACGTTTTTCTGCTATTTTTAGTGGGAAAGGTCAGAGGTCAAGCGTAACTCGGGTTTTTCTGACACCTCTGCGGGGAAAAGAAGGTGTTAGAAAAAAGCTGTTTTTTTGTGTGTGTGTGTGTTTTTTTTTGTGACACGTCAAAAAACTTTTGTGTTAAATACACCCTCAGACAGAGGTTATAGTTAACAGTAAATATAATTGACAAAATTTAGATCCGTTTTTTTCTGGATAGAAAAAAAAAATAAAGATTCCAACACGATGAAAGAGAGAGAACGGTGTTTCTTTCTACAGATTGGAATGGATGGCTACTTTTTTGGGCGTCTCGACTACCAAGACAAGACTCTACGCCAAACAGAAAAGCGAATGGAATTTATTTGGAGGGCCAGCGAAAATCTCGGTGACGTTACCTTGTGTACTTTTGTCCGCTATAGTTAAGCAGTGAACATCATCCTGACTTATAGTGTGCACTGCGCGGTCCTAGTAGATTATTAGCAGAACGCGAGCGTTAATAATATAAATACGTAAGCGTATCTTGGCGGTCAGTTGGTCGCCTTCAGCTTACAGGACTTAAAGATCTCTCTGCAAAAGTCAGAGGTTTGGTGCTATTATATTCGAGTGTCAGTTCTTCATAAAGGACTAAACACATATGTTTCGGATAAACGGCAAATAAATATGTGTTATAAGTAGTTCGACGAGGACAGCAAGACTTAAAGGGAAGCTGAAACAGTTCTTGAAAAGAAAACGAGTTAGAGGGGAATTCTGGCGTATTTTAATACCGTGAATCTGAATATCATGTTTGTTTTCCCCAAAGGTGTAACTATATGCAAAAAAAAAAAAAAACGAAAAGCCTGCAACCAGTCGTGACGTCATACTCGGGTATTTTGGCACCCAAGCGAGTGTCGCTCGCGTGCGCAGCGCGTGCAATTGCAAGCTAGCCAGGTATTTTCCCCGGCACTGAAACAAGTCGTAACGTCTCTTTCTGACCTTTTTTTTCTTCGAATAGCAAGCGTTTGCGTGCATAGCTTCGATAGGCGCTGAAGATGCGTGAGATCGGTTACTATGAAAGCGCCTTTTATGACGTCATGCCTCATGAAGGAGGGGCTTCAGTAATACTTTGAAAATTAATTTCTGCACCCTGCGTGCACTAAATAAAAAAAGAACAGAATGACCTCGATATTCGTGATCCTGGATGCCAAATGAAGACGATTGAAATGTTTTTCCTCAAATGCACAACCGCTTCAATTTACGTTTAAAAAGTTATTTTTTTTTTTTTGTTTCTTTTGTAAGGATGTTTGGATGCCTTCGGTGCCAAAGATTGGAGTTAGAAACCTATACCGTGAAGGACTTATTTTTCGCGGGCTCAATATTTCGCGATTTAGGTAAAAGCTGAAGTTTTGGAATAATTCTCGGGTTTTAATTTTCGCGACGCGGTGGGATCTCAATATATATTCTAATGTGCTTACACTTTAACGGAATTGCTCGAGGGACCTATTTTTCGCGAATTGTAGGCGTATCGCGAAATTCACGAAAATTAGGTCCTTGCGAAACTTTAGTCGTTTACAGTATCTTATAGGGCTCTAATATAATATTACATTATCTACAGAAATACTTAATCTTTACTACCGACATTTGAAAATTTGCGGTAATAATATTATTATTATAAAATTCGCCTTCATGAGACATGTGCCCGCTGCCTCGAAACTTTTGTATCACGCTCGCACTGCAGTGTTTACTTGAACAGGTGTATCTCTCTGTAGTAATTAGAAGTCACTATTGTATAAGGCAGGTGACTGGTATACCTTTTTGATAGAAACCCCAGACGGAGGAAACTAACTCTGAGAAATCTGCAATGCGCTCTCGCGTTTATTGCACATTTCACCGGCGGCTTTCTAGTTGATTGTGAGACTCTTAAATCTTTGACCTAACCTGCGCTAACCGTGTCCGTATTTCAGGGAAAAGTGCTGACATCTTCACTGGCATTCTTCCGAGCGTCTACAGCCCCCCAAAAGGATTTTGCTTCGATGTGCACTGCGACGACGAGCCGATTGTGGTAAAGCCTTAAAGTTTAAAGGGACCATGCAACGATTTTCCTAGATTTGGGTAACTCGCTGTCAGAACGTTCTCTTTACTTTCGGAAAGCGGGGACCAGGTACGCGTTCTGCTATACCCGCACTATTTTTTTTTTCACAGACGCAAAAAAAATGTTTATGAGACTGATATATTTCTCCTTTTCTCCTCGAGTTTAATTTTGTTGTTTTTATATGTAAAAACACGATCATGTATACCACTTCCAAGACGTTATTACAAAACCTTCCTACAAAAAAAAAAAAAAACACCAAAGAGAAGTAAGGCTTTTACTTGGTAATATAAAACCCCTTGTGCCTGATCTTTAAAATTATAATGGGGCCATTAGAAACCTGGCAAGATCCGAAACATGTAGCAGCAGAATTTTACCGGAAAGTCGAAATTATCTCACGATGACGCCCTAGTTTAGAACGGTTCCCTATTACCAGCTTGCGTTTAATCATTCCCTTCAACCAGCTGTCGCTAACAATCCATGTTTTCTTTCGCCAATGATTTCTTTTTAGGACGACCCCGAGAGCGACGAGTACAACGTTCCTTCGAGACTTGCAGATTTCATGGCCTACGTGCGTGAGCAGGTAACCAAATACAACACCAAGCAGACAAATAAAATTATCTGTTCGAGGTTGATCGCAAAAATATTTGTAGTACTTTTCATAAAATATATTTTATTCCTCCTGCGACAGCCATTGACCTTACGTTAACTAGCTAACTTTCATACTTAACTCTATATGCTCTTTAGAACCAACCATTAAAAAGAACGAGCTGGGTTTTATGAGAAATTTGGAGCGCGCACACGTGTATTAACTCGCACACGTGCGTCCGTGAGGTAGTGCCTCCAATCTATCTTGTTTTCTTAGCAAAACTTCTACAAAACCAACAACATGCCGGTGACCATGGGAAACGATTTCAACTACCAGAGTCCTCCTCACTGGTTCATCAACCTGGACAAGTTGATCAAATACGCAAACCAAAACGTAAGTTAGAATTACCTTTTCTTCAGCTTGCCGCTTTTCTAAAGTAGGGTGAACATACTCGCGTAGTTTTCACGCGACTTCGAAGCATTGATTGACACGGGACGCTTGGCTGCTCTATATAAGTATAAAACATTTAAAAGTTCTAAAATATTGTATAGGTTGTTTTAATTTCTTCTTTCAAAAACTGCATATACTTGAAGCCCATATTATAGTCGGCCACCGGGTTTGGTATTTTGTCGTAATTTTTTTCTGATTACTTCATCAGCGTTTCTATCAGCTTATGCCGCACTCGCATTAGCTCCGGAGCGATATAATCACGTCACGTCCTGCCTTTTTTAAGCTTCGGACGCGGTGACTACGGAGATTCTATAATAAGATAAACTGTTCTGACCATGCGCTGAACAAAAACTATATAAAAAAAGAGTTTTTTGTTCTCAACGTATTCTTTGTTGTGCCAAAAAAAAGAAACTAATATTTTTTTTTGTCGCAAGAAATACCCCTTTTTCCTCCTTTCCTTGACGTGGCGAAAACAGCACACAAGTCGTGTCATGCGTTTGTTATAACCACCAGGAGATGGCACCCCTACAGATGTCTACATCGTTGGGCTTGATTTTCATCAAATTCAAAGAGAACCCCCTGGAAGCCTGAAGGGTGGTTCATACCAAGGATGAGCAGTATCGCGACAGAAAAGTACCTCGATCCTAGGCGGAAAGATTAGAATTTCACGAAAAAGGGAGGGGGGTCCTACCCCCCCCCCCCCCTCCTTCTTCCTTACCCCGTGCGCCCCATTCCGAAGTCCCCGAAATTAGGGTACCTGCTTGAAAAATAGAGCGAAATAACGGGACAAAAAGAGAAGGAGCACACAGAACGGACTCGTCTGTCCTCGGTGTTGTTTTTAGTCATGTCGCCCAACAACCAACGAGAACAGCAATCTACTCTTTTACAGTACTTTCTTTCCCGAGGAGCTCATTATGTGGGAACGAACGGGGGAGGGGGGCGCTTTGTCCCTTTTGTGAAATTTCCGGGGTAAGGCTTGGGCCCCTAAACCCCTTCCGTAGTCGGCACCTATGACCGCGACCGTATTTCAGAAATGCATTTTGTATTTATATTTCTGTATCTCAATGCACTTTTTCTACTGTATTTTGATTTTCTTTAATAAAATACAATTTCAGGAGTATTCCTGGTATCACGATATTTCAGGGGCCAGTGTATCTCGTTACAATTTTTTTTATAGAATCGTTGCCTTCCAAGCAAAAGTTCAAGTTGACATTTTTCTTCTCTTTTTTTTTTGTCTTAAGGGGGAGAGGGGTGTTTAGGGTACACTAAGTTTTTGTTATTGCGCAAACTTGTCCCCGACAATGCTGACCCCCTTTTCTATTCTGCAAATATAAGAAATGTTCCCCTTGACTTCAACGTCGACTATTCTTGAAGATTTCGAAAATTGCAGACACCGACGGCACGTCTAACCAATGTATATAAGAGAACTCCATTTTATTCCGCTGTAACGTCATAAGATTTCTCTGAAAGAGGCGTCCAGATTGGACAAGGACGTGGTAATATCTCGAAGTTATTTGTGAGCACACAAAGTTGATCTAGAATTCCCCGTGATGTTTACTCATGATTGGATGATAATTCCCCAAAAAACAGAGCTCCAACTCTAGTAGGAAGAGTTTTTCAACCCATTAAAAAACTACTGCTCACGCCCCTTATCACTACGCAAAATGTAATATGTTACTTTTGCGAGACATTTATTTCGAATGCAAAAATGCCGACGTCGAAATTCCGGTTCAATCTTGCAGTGAGTTATCGTTTGTTGATTTAAAAAACAATTCATATAATTGTTTAGAATTCTGTGGATCATATATACTTCTTTAGTATTTTCGCATACATTAGCGGGCGCACAACCAGTTCTGCGAAGTATAATAACATCAAAAATAGGCATTTTAGAAGAAAACAAAAACGTTTCAGTACCTGTGTTTTTCTTACAACAAAATGTATTCCTGTATCTGTATTTCAAAATACTTTTTTTTCATATTCAAGTTTATTCCTGATACACATTGCTATGCCCTTTTTAGTATTCTACTTCAGTATCAGTAGTTTAGTAGTCTTGGTCCTGTATCCCAGTATTTGTATAGCCCTATAGTTTTCTAGATAATTTCTCCCCAACCCTTGTTTATACATTTCCCTTTGAGTGTGATCATCTGCATTGCAACCGCTCGTCTCCGCTCATGACGATAAAACACACTGGTGTCGACATGAAGTATCCCCCAGGAGGAACGGCACCCATGTTATACGAGTTGTCACACACCTCACTCTAACACTGTTCCTATCTCGACGGGGTCGTAGGCTTCGCCGTTTTCCAACCCACACTAGAGCAGAGTAAGCAATACTTCGAACAAAGCTGCATTCACAAGTCTGCGGGAGGCACGTCTTACTGCAAGTATGACCACTTGTTCAACTTGTGCGACTTGTTTTTGACTTACCGCCACTAGCCAGTAACTTGTGATTTGATATGTTCTTCTGCGGTAGAGTAAGCACGAAGAAAACATACGAAATAACAACCTTGATGAGCAGTTTTCCGGCGGCTGCACCGCCATTGGTTGCTTCGTAATTGATACGTGTCCTGCGTTATTGAATGAGGAAAGGCGGCAGACACACTTGGCCGGCGCCTAAAGCCATCAAGTTATATCCGGCCTTGTACCTAGCACTTGCGAAATCTCGTCAAAGAAAGACGGAACTAGACGGTTAAGTTTTTGTTGTCGCTTATTTTTGTCACGTCTATACTTGGCTTTAACATAACTTGGCCCAAGAGCAAACGTTACGGCTGCTTCGAGCCAATCGGCGTGACGGAAGTGAAACACGGGACAGCCCTTATTAAAGGTACAGGGCCGAGAGCGTAACCCAAACAGTTGGAGAAGAGGGGTGGGAGAAACTTCCTTCTCACCCATGGACCCTTTTTTGTGAGTTCCAAACATCACTTTTCTTCCCCCATACTCGCTTTCACCCAAAGAAAAGAGGATGTTTTCGCACATTGTTCATACAGCGCGCGAAGTAGTTTTTGCAAGATTTAGTTGTCGGAGGAAGAAGCGATGCGTTTGGCGTTTGAAACATCTACGTCTTGATAACACAACATATATTCAGTCTAAAATGCATCTACAAGTATCTTAATTATCTACATAAAAGGAGAAATTGGTCATGCCCCGCGAGGACCTGGACATTTTTTTAGAGCGCAGCGCTTAGGCGCTCGTTTTCGGGATGAGCGGCGTCGACGTCGCCGTCAGCGTCTCCGTCGGCGTCGCCGTTGACGTTGGCGTAACCGCGCTAAATTTATCGAGAAAATTGACGTCGCGTGACCTCAACACCAATTTAACTCCCTGCTAAATATAGCAGGGAAATTCAGTTTCTCCGCTAGATTTAGCGGATAAATTCAGTTTCTCCACTAGATTTAGCGTGAAAATTGACGTCACCTGACCTCAACACGAATTGTTAGCGGGGAATTGAATTGGTGTTGAAGTTACGTGACGCCAATTTTCCCGCTAAATCTAGCAGAGAAACTGAATGTGTTCATTGGTGACGTGATACCAAGTCATGTGACCTCATTTTCAACGCTAAATTTTGCGGGAAAACTGAATTGAAGGAGGAGGGGATGGAGGAGGAGGAGACGAGGAGGGGAGGAGGAGAGGGTACAGAGGAAGAGGAGGGGCATACCCTCCCCTCCGTACCCTCCCGTCCTCCTCCTCAAGAGCTGCGCCATAATTTTGCATTACCTAGTTTTGTAAACTTCTTTCATTTTTTACTACGGCTCTTGAGGTGAAAACGAGTATAGATTAGCCCATCACTCGAAATTCATACAAAAGTAGCTTTCCTCTCTCTCTTTCTCCCGTAGCTTTAACAGCGCTGCGCGTAACCAGAAAGGTCGAATATAATCACATGTGTCGCTCCGACCCGCTGATAGGTTCACTAGGACAGTATCCTTCGTTGTTTGCCAAGTTTCGAGAAGATTGATTATAGTTTGTGTAGGAAAACTTGCCTTCGCCGCAGATGAAGGGGCTACCAAAAACGCAAGAAAAACTATAAGCCTCAATGCCGGGCACTCTTTCCTGCCAACCAATCGTTCGCCTTCATAATATGGGCCTTCGCCACTCCCTCGGAGACGAGGTCACGTCTTTTGAGCGTAGACAATGCCCAAGTAGATTGCCTCGAGAAATACGTACGCCTTGTTGCATCCGTTGTGATCCCATAGCAACTACGATCGCAATAGGTAACTAATGGCTCGTAAAGCCGTGTGCCTCGTAATTTGGACTCGTTAAAGAAAACGACTGACTGTTTTTGCGTAATAGGAATAAGGACCACTAAGCATGATCAAAATCACACGAATGAGCCAAGCGTACACAAAAGTTGCTGATTTTCAGTTCGTGTCAGCTATTTTGAGATTGCGCCAGCAGCTAAACATCAGCTCACAACATCATAGAGTGTTTACTTCTCGTTTATAGCTAGGAAGTCGGCAGTTACCAAAGTGCTGTTGTCCAAGTAAACCAGGGCGCCACGTTTTCGCACGAGCAACTGGGATTGCTTGAGACGAAAGAAACTGACCCGTTGCAAATTATTGCAGGAATTTTTCGAGTGAGAAATTGTGACGTCCTTCAATTCGCTGCTGCTAGCTGCTAGACCAATTATATATACAACACCCTGCATATGGAGTGATTGTACTCGTACTGTAGAGCACAGCACAGCACCGGAAGATACTGAAGATATAGTCCGACGCCATATTGTATGAGAAATCTCATTCGGATCAATTGTCCTCACTCCTGTTTCAAATTCAAGGATAGAACTCGACATTATAAAACACTATCGTCTATATGCAACAGGTTTAATTTGTCCAACTCGACACCTTATATGTTTTTGCACTTTGCCATAAGCCCTAACTGTAATCAGCAACGTTTGGATTTTTCTTTTCAGTCTTCAGCTACCAATGTGAACCTTCTTTACTCGACGCCCTCGTGCTATCTCAAGTCGCTGTACGAGGCGAACACGACGTGGTCGGTGAAGCACGACGACTTCTTCCCATACGCCAGCGATCCCCACTCCTACTGGACCGGCTACTTCACCAGTCGACCTGCGTTCAAGTATCTGGATCGCTACACCAACAATCTGTTTCAGGTAGGCGACGTCGCCGTTCGATGCAACGAAAGTGGTGTTTTGTTTCCTAAGTCCTTGGTGTGTGAGTAACCACACTTTAGAAAAAGACTCTACACCCGCCCCCTCCCACAAGAGAACAAGTACTGCTGTTTGTCATTGTAACATAAGAACGACATGTTTCACCTCTAATTCATGAGAGAAACGGCGTTATCACGGCTCTCAGTGTGGAAACGCATCGTTTCTCGATCTTTGTGGGGAGGGTGAAGCGCATTCAGCATCATGTTTTCTAGTTGGAGGTTCACACCCACGAATGCAAAGCCCTGCCTGATGTCCAGTGCACCCTGGCGCATCGAACATTGATCAAGATGAGAGATATTTTACAGCGACAGCTGTTACGGGCTCTTCCCAGCACTGGAATTGACGTTCCTTTTGTTGTAGTAGTCGCCACACTATTTCCAACTGCTTGAAAAAAAAATTGCCTGCCGCTCTCGGGAATTGAACCTGGGCCCGTTGTGAAGCAAGCGCGTTACCACCAAGCTATTAGCAATCCACTTTGTTACACGGTTTTTGTGGAACAAGCGTCAGTATAAGTCTCGGGTAGTGCCCGCTAGATGGCCACAGTTGTTGTGACGTCACGATAGAAAATTCTTAGTAATTCCTAATTAATTCCAAATTTAATCGCAGTTACTTTGGTTTAATTTTGAACTATTTAATTCCAGAAAATTTGAAATAATTAGTTAATTAATTTCAAATTTAATCGCAGTTATCTCTTTGATAGTAAAACAGAAGTTTTCATGCAAAATACTGTCTAATTAGTCGTGTGTAAACCAAGAATATAAAATTCTTTCTTTGTGCACAGATCGAAACGTGGTAGCCATTGTGTAATGGCCTCCACAGGGGAAACTTCAAATCTTTTTTTTTTATTTTCTTGAGCCAATTTTGAGTTTTGCAACTGGAACTAAATACAACTTGATTATGGGCGGTGATTTTAATATTAACATGCTTGCAGACACCCGTGCAAAAAGAAACCTTTAACAGCCTGTACAACAACTCGGATGTATGAACGTGATCCCCTCACCTACCCGATTTACTCCTACATGTTCTACTTTGCTTGATCTGTTTATAACTAACCTACACAGCCTCATTTCTTGGCAGGAGTAATAAGTATAGACGTAAGCGACCACCACGGTATCAATTTTTGTTTAAGAAAAAAATGCGCTAAACGGGAAAGGAGCTGAGTCAGTATATTTTCAAGATATTTCATTGAACAACTTAAACACTTTCAGGCAAAAAGTGCTCTCCCTTGATTGGAGTGACATACTTCAAGAAAAGGACGCAGATCGTGCCTATGATATATTTTTAGCTAAGTTTTAAAAATTGTATAGAGAATGTTTTCTTTATAAACTCCTCCGGTTGTCAAAAAAAAAAAAACCCCGGAAACCTTTGATCACCCCAGAGTTGTTGGACAAAATTCAAGTAAAATATAGATTGTATCAAAAGTTCTTGAAAACGCGTGGTCGTGACTTGCTGAAAACGTTCGAACGATATCGCAACAAACTAACAAAAGAGATAAGAGATGCAAAAGCAAAATATTTTGATGACATTTACTTCAGAAGATAATGCTAAGAAATACAGATAACGTTCCGTATGATCACCCTTTTGCACCGCTTTTTCGAAAACATGGCATAATGAACATTCATAACATGTATGCATTTCGTTTAAGTATAACCTAAAGACAGGAAGCAAAAAACAACACGAATCTTCTTACTCAGTTAGCTTGTTTATGTAAAAGAACAATCACATATCCCGCACGTAGCATTGACATATGGAACATTTATTCGTGTAGAACGAGTTATGGGGAGCAAATGATGCAACGCAAACTCCCAGGATTGCTCAATTTCTGTCATAATTGCGACATACAACTAGAATCTACATCAAAAAAAAATTTGAAGTTTTTCTTTTCTAACACGAGTATGAAGTTATGGGTATCGAAGTGTTATGATTGTAAAGTGTTTATAGCCAGTCTCATAAAAAAAGCAAAAAAACGCTTGTTGGTATGATTTGTACAGAGTGTTTCCGCGCTATGTGCTGTACTGTCTGCCTTTTTGTTTTAGTTTTCTACATTGTATAATTTCTGGGGAGGAGGGAGCTCATCACGCTGATTTATTCAGCTTTTTTCCCCAACCTCCCACATCGCTCGGATGGAAAATAAAGGCATTATTATTAATTGTCAAAATCAAAAGCTTGGACTTGGTGGTGCAAGCTGCCACCCAATTAAAAGGGTTCAGCCTTATCAGCGGCAGACCACAGCTTAGGGCGTGCACCAGACGCAGATAGAGGGCTTGGCATGCTCTGTTGGACAACCAGAAGCCGAAAAGAATGCCCTAGCGGTATAGCGAGAAACGCGTATGTGTTAAATGTTAAATCGAAACTTGTGTGTGTTAAATCGAATCATCACCTGCACTCTAGATATGGTGCACGTGATGTTTCGATGTGATCATAAAAAAAGATGGAAGAAACGAATGTGCTACTCGAACTCTTTTGCTCGGACAGAGTGTGACCACTCGGACGGCAGATTTCCAACCCTCGGCGCCCGGCGTACGGATTATGTCGATCGTTCCGCTAGTCGCCCTCTTCCGCCATGATTTTGAATGAAGGCGATTGGAATATCACGTGCACCATGTTATCAGTCACCGAGAGGTTACTCCGACGCACTTATTAATTTCGTTTCTCGCGACCACCGCCAGGGTAATATTTCCGGCTTCTGGTTGGCCACATTCGAATTTATGAAGACGCCCTGGAACACGCCCAACCCGCTTTCGGCCAATGGCATTTCCTCCTTTACGTCCTATACTTCCCATTGAATGGCCAAACTCTCTCTATATACGGCTCTGCGGCAGACGCGGGTGTCTCGGCGTTCGGCCACATCTCCGACCGTCACTATAACCGCCATTTCGGAAAATGAGTGGCGCCACCTATAGTGAATTGGAGTCGCGAATAGAGTCGCGCTTTCTGTGAGACACTGAAAAACGCGCTGCCGGCGACGCCGACGCGCTCCGCCGTTCGTCGCAGAGAGAACTGTAAGGTGTATACTCGTGAGAACGAAAACCAACTGAGCCAACGACTTCGCCATGACGTCTCGCAGCTATAGCTGGGTGATTCCACGTCAATTCATGCAATGATGGTCCGGGTCATATTTTAGATATTTTTGTTAAAAATATATATGAAGGCCATGTTTTTGGGAGGAACATTCAGCTAGATATGAACGCCGTAACAATTTTTTTCGCTGAGATATAAAATAAAGAAGCTTGAGGCGTGGAAATTGAGAAGATTTCACAATGCTACTTTGCACAGTCGTCATTTCCTTATCGAACCTTTCACGGCACCATAACTTTTTAATAGGTTTTAGAAAGGTTATACAACACATACATAAAAAATTAAAAATATCCTTAAAATATTTCAATGCAAACAAAAATATCAAACATGGCACAAAAACGCGTTTTAGAGACATATTCACAATTTTTTTGCAAATAAACCATCTTTCATAATACTTCACAAAACATATCAAAATGCGCGTATTTAAATATTCTTTACGAATATATAAAGATAATATGCCCACCCTTAAACATATTTTTGTTATCAACGCGGGAATTCGGCTGATTTCTCAAAATGTGGCAAGATTGGGCGTCGATATTTAAAAAACTCCATCTTTTATTTTCTTTAAACTCCGCTTGGCACTTTGCAGTGACTTGAACTAACCAGTGATGGCAAAAGATTGAGTAACATATGACCTCCAAGCGGGAAAAGCTACGACAAACCTTCACTCGGAGCGAGCCGACGTCTTCGTCATAGCGGCTTTGCCGCACAGCACCAAACGTTTTGAGCGTTAGTTATGGCATGTATTTTATATTATTAAACTTCTTTTTTTCATAAGGGCTGAGTATTAGTGACGCGAAAATGGACTTTGAGCTGGAATACCATTAATTAGCTTACAATTCACAGGAACAAAACGGCGCCACTGTGCGAATTCGCTAACTATGCATAGATAAGCTTAAAACTCTCAGTTATGCGAGTGGCCATGTATACATCCGGCCTCTCGGCATATGATGACTTCCACAGATGAGAAGCCTGGATTCCTCTCACAGGTTTTATGGTGGTCCACTCTGCTTGCTTTACCGCACGAAACTCTCGAACCCGTTCCACAGACAGGTGGAACATGCAGACATTTGTTACTTTTTTACGTAGCACTTCCACAAAGTCTTTAGCGGTGGCAATCGTTGAGTTGAGCGAAGATCTCAACTTGGTGAGCGTTGGTTCTTCCACCTACTTCATCACAAGCGCTTTCTCCGTGTCCAGTGGCTGAAAAGATCCATATTGCCGAAGAGTGCGGCTTCCGAGACAATTCGTGGAATTGGAAGCGATTCTTGAAATGCGCCGCCGCTCCGTCTGATACAAAAATTAGTTCAGAAAAGACTGGGAAATGAACATTAACATACTCTTTTATGGCCTATGTGGCTAGAAGAGCGTGAGCTGTGTCATGTGTCGTGTACCATCGGTGACAACGGCAAAGCTTTGCGTGCCTTGCGTGGACGTAACCACACTGGTGGAGAGAGACACTTGAGTTTTTTTTCAATGAAAACTCTGCACTTCGGTTGGAAAGAGTGCTGTCCATTTTTCCGCAAAATCGAAGTGGAACATCACTGCCTTGGGTGGTAAGGCGGTTTTTGTGTCATGTATCAGGCTTCGTTCAAGGTCAAGGATGTAAGAATGCCTCATATACTTTTCGCTCTCCTATTGCCGCAGGAAGGCAGAGGTGTCCATAACCTTTTTGACGAGTTCGCGAGCGTCCCATAACGCGAAACAGATCTCTTCATCTTCGTCGAGATGAAGCGACTGCAGCGAGATGCTCTGCATTTTTGGGCACTTTTCGCAACGGCGCAGAAAGCAGTCGTTCTGTGGAGCGCAGGAGAGGTAGATGCGCTTGAGGTCGTCTTCAGTAAATGTCTTCTTTGGGGCATTTGTTATTGCCGTTAAAAGCAACTGAAAATTGACGCAATATATGCATGCGCACACCTCGTTCTCGGGACTTTTTTTTTTTACCCATTTTGGTCGTAAGGAATAAAATTTGGAGATGCCTAGTTCGGGATGGGGATGGTCCTTCCTAAACAGCTGGTAAGCTTCCTTAATAGAGCGGGTCATAAACCGTTTTACGACTTTGAACATGTCGTTGATCATGGCTTTGACGACGTCCTTTTTGTCGGGGCTTTGAACAGAGCATGCGAGGTCGTCGCGTGTGTAGTACTCAATTGCAACCCCCACGTCTTCGGCATTCGCCTTTTTCCCCATGTAGGGATCAGGGGTTGCCCAAACACCACCTTTGCGCTTCAGTTTTCATGTTTGATCAATCATGTAGGCAGTCACACCCGACACCAAACGCAATATTGTTCTCTTCAGGATGATTGGTGGCAGAAGCACGTACAATCGCTTGCGTTCCTGGTGGGAACTACATGCCTTCAGCATTTCGCAAAACGCGTCAAACCACTCTGCGCAGTGCTCACAACTGTCTTCGAGTTCGAGAGTTTCGTGCGGTGAAGCAAGCAAAGTGGACCACCGTAAGACCTGTCAAAGGAATCCAGGAAACTCATCTGTGAAAGTCATCATATGTCGAGAGGCCAGATGTATACATGGCCATTCGCGCAACTGAGAGTTTTAAGCTTATGTATGATGCATAGGTAGCGAATTTGCAGAGTGGGGCCGTTTTATTCCTGTGAATTGTAAGCTAATTAATGGTATTCCAGCTCAAAGTTCCTTTTCACGTCACTAATACTCACCGCGTATAAAAAAAGAATTTTAATAATATAAAATACATGCCATAACTAACGCCCAAACGTTTGGAGCTGTGCGGCAAAGCCGCTATGACGAAGACGTCGGCTCGCTCCGAGTGAAGGTTTGTCGTAGCTTTTCCCGCTTGGAGGTCATATGTTACTCAATCTTTTGCCATCACAGGTTAGTTCAAGTCACTGCAAAGTGCCAAGGGGAGTTTAAAGAAAATAAAAGATGGAGTTTTTTAAATATCGACGCCCAATCTTGCCACATCTTGAGAAATCAGCCGAATTTCCGCGTTGATAACAAAAATATGTTTAAGGGTGGGCATATTATCGTTATATATTCGTAAAGAATATTTAAATACGCGCATTTTGATATGTTTTGTGAAGTATTATGAAAGATGGTTTATTTGCAAAAAAATTGTGAATATGTCTCTAAAACGCGTTTTTGTGCCATGTTTGATATTTTTGTTTGCATTGAAATATTTTAAGGATATTTTTAATTTTTTATGTATGTGTTGTATAGCCTTTGTAAAACCTATTAAAAAAGTTATAGTGCCGTGAAAGGTTCGATAAGGAAATGACGACTGTGCAAAGTAGCATTGTGAAATCTTCTCAATTTCCACGCCTCAAGCTTCTCTATTTGATATCTCAGCGAAAAAAATTGTTACGGCGTTCATATCTAGCTGAATGTTCCTCCCAAGAACATGGCTTTCATATATATTTTTAACAAGAATATCTAAAATATGACCCGGACCATCATTGCATGAACTGACGTGGAATCACCCAGCTGTGACTGTAAATTGACACAAAACTGCCCCTCTTTTTTTTCTTTTTTTTTGTGGGGGGGGGGGGGGTGTGCGCAGTTAGATCTGCCGTTCTTACTTTGCGCCAGCTAGCCTGTAACATTTTAGCTCTTCGCGCTCAATGGTTGAAGTTAGTTCAGTATCTGCAACAATTTTTTTTGCAGATCCTGAAAAACCTTAATGGCCAGGAGCACGTTATTTTTGTTTTGTTCGTCTTTCCTTCTTTGATCATAGTCTGAAGATTTTTGACAATTTTCATACGGAGCATATCACAAATACTAATTGCATACTCTTATTTTTGAGCCTCATAGTTCTTCGGATATAAACTCCATTAGTTCGTCTAGTTATGGCACTTCATTCACCCCCTCCACTGAGTAGAAAGTGAAGTTGTTCTAGAAGCGAGACCAATTAATAGCCTGTCATGAGTCAGCTAACCCATTTCGATTCGTATGAGACTGCCGTTGGAAATCAGTTCGCCAAAAGCCAACGACTGGTTCAGCGAGTGTCCACGAACATGCCAGTTCATTCTTAGTACGTTGAAATAAAAAAGGCCTGGGGCTATTCATCGTACGTCAGATTCAATACTCATACATTTTGAGGCTTTTGTTGTGTTAATTATATCTGCCACTTTTGAACTAATGCAGGATGTTCTAAACGAATGACGGTGCATTACCTTCCAGGCGGAAAAGCAACTGGGTGTTGCGGCTGGACCAAAGGCTGTGGCCGATAAAGATCTGGATGTTCTGAGTAAGCGAATATCAAATTTTCCAGGATATAAAAAACAGATATCTTCGGTGTTTGGCTGCGGAGACCTTCATTGGATGGTTCCACTTATTTTTCTCTTAAACAGGAAAAGCACTGGCGGTCGGACAGCATCACGACGCAATTACGTAGGTGTAAATCTATCATTAAATTTTTTTTTTAATTTTTACCGACATCTTCGTTGACGATGGAGACCCAAAATAACCAAACACTTCCCTGAACTCTTGAAGCTTTATTTCCCTTTTTGCAGCGTATCTGAACATTCCGATTGGAAAACATAGTTTCATGTTTTCCTGCAATTAACTGCGTCTAATATGTTATTGGCAGTGCTCACTGTGCTGGCGTAACAAATCGTTCGTAACGCCTAAGCACCTCATAAAATACAAGGAACTCAGCAGCATCTGTTGGCACGCTGACAAACCTTTTCACTTAGGCCCTTGCCTCCGAGATCCCGAAAAGCTTAGGCGGCATTCTGAAAAGGTCGCTGTTTCGCTTGCATTTTACTAGATGGTGGTGAAGTTTGCATAGGAGACAAAAACCCTTGTGCGTCGCACAATAGTTGTTGGGGATCTGGTATCAAGGATTTCGAGTCACAGAAATTAAAACTATGTATCTACATGCGCTTTTTTATTTTATTTATTAACTAGGTATGACTTTTTTAACACGCCATCAAATTTTGTCTCGAAATAGTAAGCATTTTCCCAGCGGCACTACACTGTTTGCTAGAACAATGCGAAAGGCAAATTTTACTGCTCGACAGCAACTAGGGCCTTGCATAGCACGCCGAAAGCAGGTAGCAAATGACTAAATGGCCTTCGTCCCGTCAGAAAAAAAAATTAAACCATACCTTACACTTTGCTGGAAAAAAAGATACAGAAACAAAGAAGGGTTTTATAGGTGTTCTAAATTTAAGCTAGTATAACGAACGGACGTCAAGGCAAGCTGGGCGTCAATAATATATGAAATGAATTAAATAACATACTATTCAGACGAGGAAACCATAATTAAGTTGCTAAAAGGTCACACTGCAAAAATGTGTACAAACAGATATCAGCTGAATCATGAGTACGATCAAATTCTTCATAGTGCCATATATTTTTCAATATAGGGTACAAAGGGTTTAGCTAAAATTAGAATTTTAGATGTACGAAAGAATAGGTAAACAAGAAACAAATTTACTTATTTACGCAACTTGAAATTTATATGAAACAAGCTTATGTGTGTGTACATTTCTGTGAGCATCAAATTGGGGTATAGAGAAACAACACAATTGTTTCTTCGAATTGGGATTCGAACCTCACTGAAACATGCGGATACAAGTTTTTACGCTGATAATACAGTCGGTTGTCTTTATAAAGAGATAGGACAGTAGCCACGTGGAAGTGTGAGCTCACTCAAATAGAAAGGCTGTTTACGGACATGCAAGTAGAAAGAAGGAAATAAACTAACAAATAAAAAAATAAAACAAACGAACAGATGATTATGACGTCCTCAAGAATCTTTCCCCGGTTCTCGTCGGCCTTGACATGCACTGCTTAATCTATGCTTAGGTTACAGGGTAGTAAAACACATACACACAAAAGTAAAAAAAATAATACCAATGAAAGTTTTGCTCCGGGATTTACCGCTGATCGGTGTGGCTCCGTGCACACGGGAACTACGACGAGGTAGCCTTCCATTATTTTGCGCCGGCTTCCGGGAAGTAGATTGATAACCTGCTGATGTAGCAAAAATGATAAAGGTTCTGGTTGATAAAAGAAAAAAAAAACATAATTCTCTGATTCGTGCAGGTGTAATACTCCTTCAAACATCGTAACCTAATTTTACAGCTTTCTATTTGGAATGCTGTACTGTTGCTTTACATTTTTATAGAAAAAAAGAAGGCTATTTTGATTTTCCAGTACTCCAGCCAACAGGCTGGAGCACTGAATCGTGACATGCGTTTATATTTTTAATGTAAAAGCATTAACCATCCCAAAGAGCGAAGCCGGCGTTGTCTGCAGCAGCGAAAAACGGCACCTCTATTCCCATTGGCTGAGCGAAACGGCCCTTAAAGTCCTGTTGGCGAAAAGCACAGCTACGCGGATGCTTCATCACGGAAGCAGGCGGGGGGCGCTCAAGGTCAAAGCAGACACGCCTCAGATATAAAACACAAAGAAAATCACAGCAACGCAAAAGCATCGTCACGGAAGCCGGGGAGCCGACGCGGGCGCCGCGCCTGCGCAGTGGGGGAGTATGACGTCACCGCCGCAGCGCCCTGTGAAAAAGGAAGACGTGGCGCGCTGCTTGTAGGAATGCGCTGCGTGTAGGAATGCCTTCGCATTCCTACACGTAAGCAGTCTTAAGTGTGTGTTTTTTATGTGAAACGTTATACTGTCGTATTGTCATTTAATTGGAAAAATAATATGTGTTCAATTTTTCAGTGGTACTGCCAAGCAAGCCGTTGCCAGTAATTATGTCAAGCACATATCTATCGGACTTCAATCATCCGAGGTAAGAGTCCGGACATAAAAAAAAAAAAAAAAACTTTATTGCATTTACTTGACATACAACCTCTTCACTTTCTTGCAGAAATACTTGAACTCGGCACTGCAGCGAATCCTTCCTCTTCAGTCTGGCAGCAGCGTTCCGTGGTTCACGTTTTGCCACACACTGAATATCAGTTCCTGCTCTGCTACGGAAAATGCTTCCACTGTAAGTCTGCGTCGCCAGCATTTACGGCGCCCAACTAGTTTAACAAGATTTGTTGTTTTTGTAGTTGGTACATAATGCTCCATTGCTCATTAACCATGAAAGCGCAAACAGAGACTTGCCCATAAAAGGGGACACCGGCAAGTACTTGTCGATGCCCCGTTCCTTGTTTCAGTCTTTGTTTGAGCTTACGCGTTTCCGGTGTGTTGAATTAACTTGACCCTAAAATTTTTTACAACTTTTTTAACTACTTTTCTCGCTGTTCCCCTTTACCACTAAGATATCCCAGTCCTATAGATAATATAATTATATAATTTTAATTTTATGTCTTTTATCATCCTTTAGAAAAACCCGTTCTCATGCAAATTCACCATGTTTACCGTGTGCCATCTAGTTTGCACCCTCGTTTGTGTTTCTCTTTTTTAAGTGCCGTCTATTAATTTAGATTTAAGGTCTAAATGACAGTGAGCGATCATATTGGGAGAGACATACAAGCTGTGCGTCCAACGTTTGCAGTTTTGAAATGGAAACCAATCGCCAAGGCTGCGAAGTTCTTGACTTGAGATTGCACTTTGTCGGCGGGCTGCAGCCTAATATCTCCGTTAATTGCAGGTCGCCATGTTACTTTATAATCCTCAAGCCAAGCCTGTGACCTCCTACTTGCGCATTCCTGTCACTTCGGCGTCGCACGCGATACTTGATAGAACTGGATACAAAGTACCTTCTCAGGTAAGTAAGATCTTCCTGAACACGTGTGCGTGCACGAATGAAGCCCCAAAATGTGCCACAGTACATAGACGGCAACAGAAGTAAAACTTCGTTACTGTTCAAACAATAGACCCTTTCCGGAATTCAGTGCCATCTGGGGACTCAAATGGCAATTTAACTTTTACCGTACTAATGGCGGCAATGAACCTGTGGTCTGCAGTATTTTATGGGCACCGTCACTTTCGCAAGTCAACAATAAACGAGAATGCGCGCTTCACTGTACAGTTCTTTTTCAATCTCTTTCAGTGTCGATGGCGAAAAAGATGAAACCAGTCACAACGAAGCGCCAACTTACACAGACGTCTTGATAAAGCTTTATTCATTAATGGGCTTTGAAGCCCAGCGTGTGCTACTAACAGATTGACTGGGCCCGAGTTAGAAATGAACGCTTACTCAGCTCTTGCATCCACTTCCTGATTGACGTGGCAATAACGTCTCGAGTGTAGAGGCCTCGAATCATCTGCTTAGGAGCATCTCCAACTTCTTCCTTCATCAGTAACAGAAGGCCGCCATTATTATAGCATTTTTGAGATGATGATAGTCCTCAAAGTGGCCAGACTGAATTCCTGAAAGGGTCTATCAATGAGAAACTTCGCGTCCACTATACTCCGTTTCACCTTATGTTGTACCGCAGACAAGGCTAGAAGCGCGAGCTCATAGCGTTGGGAGCTACTCTTAGCGCACGAGAGCTTGTGCCGCCGAGATGTGCCCTGATGAAGGAGCTCGCGCTTGAAGCCTTTCCTGCGGTACATTATAAGGTGAAACAGAGTATAGGGCGTATTCACTGGCGGCCATATCCGTGTGCACTGCTGCTGAGCGCGTGCTGACGGCGAGCTTCCGCAGTCCTTTTGGAGCGTGCATTTAGCACCATTAAGGTTGCCGGTCTTAGCAGGCTATTAATGTGAGCTCGTTCTGAGCATGCGCTCTAAACAGCACCCACAAATATGGCGTCCAGTGAATACCTCCTATAAGCGCTTCGAGACAAGTGGACTGAAATCTCTTTGTAATTTCTCACCGTTGTCCTTGTACGAAGTTCTAACATTCAGAAGACCAAAATAACCCATAACTGGTATAGTTTCATTACATTTAAAAAAATAAAAAAGACACTGCCCACAAGCAGTCATATCGGATACTAATCGTCTGCACTTTTTTGTTGGAAAAAAAAAGGCCTTAAATGAGTCGTATTTCAAAAAATAACTTCGGTCGCCGAAAAAAAAAATTTTTTTTTGTGATAATGTTGGAGGGTTTATGCCGAAAACTGACCGTAGATTTGTAATATTTTTATTTCCGCATAAATGTTGCTCGATACGTAATACCGAAGAAATATAATTACGCTTTTGACTGAAATAACATTATATTAAAGAAATTATAACACTGTTTTATTTACTCTCTTCTATTTTAGGTCTTTGACATTCCTCGCGGAGTTACTGAGATTCCCGGCAGAACGAGCAAAGCTGCGTACGAACTCGTGTTTAGGGCTACCTTGCCACCTGTTGGTTTCGAAACATTTTTTCTAACCAATCAAGGACGTGGTGGTTCAGGTAAAAAAAAAATGAAAGGCGTTTACAAATCTCTGTAATCCGGAGGGAAGCGTACGAAGGGTAAGCGTACGTCCCTCCTCCTTCTCCGTACCCTCTCCTCCCTTCCTCCTCCTCCTTTCCCCTCCGTCTCCTCCTCCTCTTCTGCTCCATACCCTCCCTTCCTCCTCCTACATACCCTCCCCTCCTCCCAGTTTCCACGCTAAATTTAGCTGAAAAATTTAATCCACGTGACCTCAACACCAATTTAATTTCCCCGCTAAATTTAGTGAGGAATTGAATCGGTATTGAGGTCACGTGACGTCAATTTTCCCGCTAAATCTAGCGCGGTTACGCCGACGCCGCGAAACCTGGAAAAGGGCACCTTAAAGCTGCGCTCTACAAAGAAGCGAGGGGTAAGTTGTACGGCAAGGAATTGACGGACAGCAGGAGACGGGAGTGCGCGCCGGAACACCGAGCTCTGGTTGGAATGGTTAGTCGCCAACTTATCTGCATTTGTCCCCACTCACGCTTCGCACGTGTTCCAACACGAGCGCCGGACGCCGGTGTTTGGCATTCTGACGCGTTCGACGAGCGCAGCGGAGACGAAGGCCATGGCGTCTATTCACTAACCATTCCGACCAGAGGTCGGTGTCCTGACGTCTCTGCGCGCTCTCGTCCCCTCGCTTGTCTCTCAATTTCTCGCATTTTAGACCTACAATAGACCCTTCCCAAAAGTCTGTGCCAACGCCTGTCCGCCACTGCTTCATCACATACTCGGAGCGTGTATTGGACCCGAGCGCTGCGTCAGCGTTTGGCTAGTACTCGGATCCAATCACGCGCTTCGCGTCCGAGCAATGGCGGCCGCCAATGTTGCCTGACGGAATTTTGAAAAGATTTGACTTGTGCAATCACCTCCCACAACAGATTGAATTTCCTCCAAAGATAAATATTGGCGCTAGACAGCACAACTTTACAAAGGCGAATGTGTGCTCACTGGAGGAATGTACGCCTCATGTTTCTGACAAGATATCATTAGCTGAAAACGTTTACTGATCGGAGTCGCAGCTCGCATTCCTTTTTTTAGGAAAACTGTATTGACAAAATCAGTCTTGACCCCTGTTGTTGTTGTTTTCAGATCACAAGCGTGCAATTGAGTATTTTGGGAGTTCAGATAATCAATACGTGTCGTAGCCTTTTAGAGATCAGTGAGGTTTAAAAGACAAAATTTTGTTTCGGTTCTTATTTTTAATATTTCACCCTTGCGGTTATTATTTTGATAAAAGTACACACCCGTGACTATTGTGTATATGGACCAACACGCTGCTTACAAACGTGTAATCATGAGGTGTGGGCGAACGTGCAGTTCCAACAGGAGGTCACGAGTTATAGGCACCGCGCGTACGCAGGAACCCGATTCGCGTGAAGTAGAGGGTCTTCGCATGTGCCCCGGAGCGCAAGTTCTCCTGCTTCTTGCGCAAGCGTTGCGCTGACGTCAGAGGAGCGAGCTCTGATTGGCTCTGATTGGAAAAATAGCGGGTAGAGCTCAAGCCTTGCTGCCTTGAGGTCTACCCTCTGTCCTTCCAATCGAGCCAATCAGAGCTGGGCGTTCTGACGTCGCCGCGACCCGCGGGAACCCTGCGCGGGAACCCTGCGCAAAAAGAAGCAAACAAACTTGCGCTTTTCGTAGTGGCGCAACCGCGCGGTGCCTATATGCTATTTTAGTCACGGTTAATTGAAGTCATTAAAGGGGACCAGTACACCCTAATGTATTGTCTTCGTTACAAAAACCTGAAAAGATTGATTTCTTAAGAGAAAGCTTACCTAAAAACAAACACGAGGGCGCGCATCTTTTAACTTGAAACTACGCGTCGTCGTCTGTGCCGTTTTTTTTTTGTTTTTTTTTTCTGGTTCTTTATGTCTTCAAACCAACTGAATTCCGTGTAAAGTGAAAAAAAGCGTTAGAATGTGTACTCAGAGACCAGTTGTTTTGGCATTTCAGAGGTGAACACCTTGCGGGCAAGGATTTGATCGGCGCTCATGCTACCCGTAGGTGCGGGCGTCCGTAGCTTTGACTTTCTTGACTTTGTTGCCAGAAACGGTTGTCCCCAAGTATGGTTTCGTTAGACAGTATTCTGATCATGCACACCAACTGTTGATGGCTTTTATTTTATTTTTTTTTTACTTACCATTGATAGCGCGGGGGAAATTGAACTTGCCTACTTTTCCAGACTCTTACAACCCAAGGCGAGAAAATACATGTACAACACCTGGTACAAAAGAAATGGTTTTAAGCGGGAAAGTACGTACAAATTTATTATTAATTTAAGCTGGGACTGAATGTTTTAGCTTCTCGTGTTTTTTGTTTTTTTGTTTGTAGAGTTGCGGGCGGTAGCAGTAATGTTGCTGGCATAAATTGCTACCGATCAATAGACCGATCTCACCAGCCAGTTAGACTACGCCACCGCTGGCGCAATGCATCGCGGGAACCTTATAGTCTTTCTAAACATCCGACAACCTCGCTGGAGCTTTGCGCTTGTAGCACACGAGACGGCACGAACAGTCTCGTACACTGTCACCTGCCTTCTCTGAACTAAAGTTATGGCGGCCTCACGCATGCACTAAATGCTTGGTGAGATAGGTCTATTAAAATATTTTCCTCTGAACTTTCATAGTGTTAGACTGTTTTTCATGTTGGCATTATGAGTCTCGTTATTTATGTCGTATTATGTGTTGCATGAAAAGCCAGTAATTTTGTTATTTGTATGGTGCTTAGAAACAATTATTTGCGCGCAACGCTTTCAGGCGTGAACTTATGTATAAATAAGTAATCATTATTGGCGAGTGTGACAACTGGACATCCAGTTAGTTGTTTATTTATTTATCAGCGTAAAAGCGATGAAATGGCACTCTACACTTAACATTTTAATATATACTGTCACGGGTGGTGACCAAACAAAAAACAGGAAATAAACAGAAATAAATAAACGTTTAATGTGGCGAACTTGTGCCAAAAAAATAAAGAAGGAAACAGAAGAAAGCAGAGCGTCGCGGGCGTCGAAGTCGGCGTGTCAGCAGAATCGAGCGCTAGGGCGAGACTGACTCGACAAGGTCGCGGGCGGCCTCTTATCTAGAGTGCGTCGCTATCTCGAAGATTCGGCGAAAGCGGCTCGAGCGTCGCGTGATCGGGACGAGAATGAACACGCACTTTCTAGAAAACAAAAGCAGAAGATACGTGGATATAAATAATAGAAGTTACGTGCGCTACATGAATAAATGGGAACTTTCTGGAGGTCCGTGACCGAGCGTTGCTTTCTCAGCCCTGCGCGCGGCAATACGAACCGCATAAGTCATCACCATCTGTAGATGCTTATTGCTTAGACGATCACGCTGTGTACGTGGGGATGTGCACGTGAATGCTCAACCTTGAAGAAAAAGTCTTTTACAATCATTCCTGATATATAAAGTTGTTTCATTTTTTTCACTACCCCATTCGACCATTAAAACTGAAAGCCAAGAGATGGCGCTACTAAACAAATAGTAATTTTACAGTACATAATTGCTTAGTAATCACGCAATCATTTAGAGCCCGGTATTTGATCTCCTTAAAAAGCTTCAGTGCAATAACGTAAAGTTTACGCAGCAAACATGCTCCACACACACTTAAAAAAAAAAAGAAAAAAAAAACACGGAAAGTTAAGAGGTGAATGCGTTACATTTCAAATAATTTAATTGATTGTCAAAACTGCAGCTAAAAAATATGATGTCATTAAAGTTCGTAGGTTTAAAGGATATCTGACTCACCATTGCAACGTCTGATTGAGGTTTAATTTCTGTTAATCAATTTTGATCTTTGTTACTACAGACAGTTTCCGTTACCATCAACTGCAAAACGGGATTACTGACGGCCATGACTTGGAACTCTACAAAGATCAACGTCCGACAGTCGTTCTACTGGTACGAAGGAATGAAGGGCAACAACTCCAAGTTCGAGTACAGGGCTTCCGGTGCCTACATATTCCGTCCTAAGGGCAAGAGACCCATCCCCGTCGCCAAGAAAGTTCAGCTGATAAATCCTATGGTAAATTGCGATTTCCCTCTTTGCGGCATTTTAACCCTAATCAGAAGAAAATAACATATATGTGCGTTTTCCTTTGTATATGGACATCTTGACTTTGAAGAAAGACAAATATAAAACCAAATATTTGAAACTAAATAAACTATGAATTATGATTATTTCTTACTTTTCCTAGGGTCAAGGAGATATGGTACAAGAGGTTAGACAAACATTTTCGAATTGGCTCACACAAGTGATTCGCGTGTACAAAGAAGAGGATTTTGTTGAGTTTGACTGGGTGGTGGGTCCCATACCTGTCAAGTGAGTAGAACTATGTTTTCTCGTGATAGTAACTTTTGGCAATGTGAAACATACTGGTTCAATATTTTTTATGTGTGTGCCTATGTGTGTGTCTGCAGTGACTCCCTTGGAAAAGAAATTGTGACGAGATTCGACACAGACCTCAAAAGCGACGGTGACTTTTACACGGATTCGAACGGCAGAGAGATCCTTCAAAGAAGGTACGTAAAAGTCGTCGTTTACGTAGCTGACCTCCTCTTATACCTTAGACAGTCGAAATACTTATGTTCAATAAGAGAGCTGTATTCGTATACCATATGTACAGGGTGTTTCACGAAAGGTGGGCAAATTCGATATTGCGAAAACTACGCATCGCACACAAAACAAAAAAAAAGGCTTGTGTCGTTTTGGTTTTATGCCAGGGCCATTTTTCTGAAAATTATTGAAGTTGGGGATAATTAAGTTGTTAATCATTTTCACGTAATTAATATTTTAAATATTGAGTTTAAGGGCATGGTTACAATTAGGATCTTGCTGAGCATCATCGAAAAGCACTAAATCAACAAATTTCAGAACGACCGAAGTCACGCGCGGTATTTTACGGCTTCCTGAAAAACCGAACAATTTCGAGGGATTTTTAAGTTTCGGTTTTCAATCGGAGCGCTTCTCGGCACCGACGGTACCGCACCCCGTGGAGAAATAGTGCAACCAGGATCAGCTGCATTGCGCGATGGCAGTGCAGCAGAGGTTGGTTGCACTATTTCTCCACAGGGTGCGGTGCCGTCCGGGCCGAGAAGCGTTCCGATTGCAAACCGAAACCTAAAAACCCGTCAAAATTGTGCGGTTCTTGAGAAAGGCATAAATAACCGCGCGTGCCTTCTATCGTTCTGAAATCTGTTGATTTAGTGTTTTTCGATGTTGCTCACCAAGATTCTAATTGAAACAATGCCCTTAAACTCAATATTTAAAATATTAATTACGCAAACATAAATAAGAACCTAATTATCCCGAACTTCAATCATTTTCCTAAATAGCCCCTGGCCTAGGATCAAAACGACACAAGCCTTTTTTGGTGCGATGCGTAGTTTTCGCAATATGAAATTCTTCCACCTTTCATGAAACACCCTGTATATATACAACACTGCCCTCGAATGCAATTTGGAGAAAAAAAAGAAGAAAAAAATGTGGGGACGGCATTTCACAGACATTCTTTCAACAAAAACACTGGTATTACAATAAATGCCGTTTTGCGGTAACGCGATACTCGGCCAATTCAGACCTGCAGGAGACATAACGCAGCGCTTGTCCGCACTTCTGAGGTGACGACAATTCTTGCACAAAAACTAGCCACTTTCCGGTGGGATATACAATAAGTATAAAGTGTGTGCCATGGATGGTCTTGAGCCTTTATTATAATGTCACGATGACAAATGCCTTTCGGCATAAGTATTTGTTTATTGGGTTATTTGAGGGGAAAATGATATACAAAGAACGCTGTTTTCTCTTATTTTATTTTATTTTACCTCATTTCATAAAAAAAGCACAAAAGGTTTCACTTGCGTTCTGTCCCTTGTTTACGTTCTCTGATAAGGGGAATTTATAAATTTAAATGCTAACCACATCAATATTTCTTCGCTTCATTAATTCCGCCAATGATTTTATCTACATGACTCGTCACAACTTCTTGTAAGCAATATATGTATTCTGGGGCAGGTGTTCGAAAGACTACCAATGAAGTAAAAGTAACGATATAGCAAATATTGAAAAATCAACTAATTTCAAGAGGAACTGTGCTGAATGATGAAAATCTTACCGTATCACCCAAATGGGGTAAACGTGTACAGGTGCAACTGGTATTTGATGTCCTGATATAGTAAAAATATTTACATCTAAATATGGTTTAAATAGGTGCAGCTCTCGTGCAGTTGTACTCTACTTTTGCTTCGTTTATATTGACAAACTTAGTATACATAAGCTTTAATCGTCCTGTTACTTCTTCCAGGCTGAACTATAGGCCCACTTGGCCACTTATAAACTTGGAACCGGTATCTGGCAACTACTATCCAGTGAATAGCAGAATCTACCTCAAGGTAATCTTTTTACTTCGCTGCTTAGTTTTATGTTTCATATGTTAGTAGACAGAATGTTTAATTAACTTTGTTCTTGATTTTGTTTTTTTGGACAGGACAAGGCACGGAACATTCAATTCACCGTTCTCACTGATAGGTCTCAAGGTGGAAGCAGCTTGGCTGACGGTTCATTGGAACTAATGGTACCGAAACTCCTTATAATTTTGTGTTTATTTCAACCAAAGCAAGTCTTCTTCTTTGTTTGCTGGCGTAAGATGTGATATACATCTCAATGTTTTGCTAATGAGGTAAATTGAAAATTTTCTCCTGACTGTGTGACTGACAATCTTCTCATGACGGAAGCTATCAAAGAGTGACATCTTTTGCTTTTTAGGAGGCAGTTTATTATTTCATGATTTTGCTTTCTGTGATATGTCAGGCCTTAAAGTGCCACGAAAAATTTTTTTTTCTAGACGGTCTGGTTGGGACACGCATGTTGTAAAATAAAATTTACGCGAAAAAAAAACATTTTTTAGAGCAATATTGATGGCGTATGACGCGGTTTAGTCGGTAGTCACCTCCTTCCCCTTGTCTTCTCTCTCGGCATTTTGGGTGCATCGAAAAGAGACCATCGTGTTGAGGTGGAGAGAGTGTATGACCATCTCGTTGAGGTAGAAAGAGTGTGGGACCATTCCGTGACGTCATGGAATTTGCTCGTAGAATTTGAAATTAATCTCGCGCCGTCAATATTGCTCTAAAATTATTATTTTTTTCGCGTAAAATTAATTTTTCCAGACGTGTGTCTCAACCAGACTTTAAAAGAAAACATATTTTTATTTTCAGTGGCCCTCTAACGAAGAACCATGTATATTGTTCTTCGTTATTAATTATATTTAGCTTAAACTATCACGTGTCGTTGGCTTGATATATCGGCATCGTCATCTTTTGCCAACAAGTGTCAAACTTTTATTCTAAAACTCTCTATTTTTCTCTGATATTAACTACTGCCAGCTAGTTTGGGGTAGTAGTAAAAGTACAAACTTTAATACCTTTGTTGCAGAAAAATAATGCTATGAAACATTTCGAATGTCGCGTACGACAAACGTAGTGAACCCCTATTTAAAAGTTCAAAAATCGATGAATTCCCTATTTAGAAGTCTAAAATTGATGAATCTTAATAGTATATAGAAATATTGTTTTTGTGTGTGTTATGAATCTGAAGTACAAAAAAAAAATATCTTAATTTGATTGACCTGGCTTTTCTTGCTCCAAAAGTGCCAACTTACTTCACTCGAAGTTTACAAAATTCGAAGTTGTCCAATCTTAGAACGACCTATGCTGAGCAAATGTTATCTAATACGCTTCTAAACTTACTCAATTTATTTAGCTTCAAAAATTGTGATCCTATCTCGTCATGAAAAAAAGATATTCGAATTTTTTTTTTTTTTCAGTCTGGCTTCTTAGTAGTATTTTTCAGAGATTTGAGATGTATAACATTTTGTGTTTTCTGGGCATATGTCTAAATGTATACACTCCGTGCGGGAACTATAGGGGGCGCTTTGAAAAACGCGCGCAGCGCCGCTAGCGGAGGAGCTGGTGTTCGACTGCGAGGCGCGTTCAGCAGCCTGCGGCGCCTTTTCGCATGCCATGCTGTGGCGGCGGAAGCGCGCACGGACGAAACTTTTGCTTTTTGGACCGATACGTTGAGGGTGACGTTGTTTGAGTGCTGGGGCAGACCTAAGAAGGGCTTTTAGCTGTTCTCCACTCCTTATATGTTGAGTTTGAGTCGTTATTAGGGCTAATTTCTCTAGTGGCGGCAAAAAAGGAGTTGGAGCGATTTTCCGAAAAACAAGACGGCCGCCACCAGGCTTGCTCTGAGTGGGAAATTTATTTCGCTCGTCGCTGTAAACGTAGGACTGCTGGAACAATGATATTGGAGGCGAGTGAGATGTTCACTAAGTTTGTGCACGAAGTGTGCCAAGTTTCATTAAAGCGCGAAACACATGTACGACGAAACCGTCCGATCCGACGTCCGACCACGTAATACGACGGTCGGAGGCGAGGGTTTTCAACGCTCTCCGACGCTACGAATACCCTTGCCCCCCAAGGTCATTCCGGCGGTCCGCACGTCGGATCGGACGGTTTCGTCGTACATGTGTTTCGTGCTTAATGTGAAAGTTATGTTTTTAAGAAATAAAGCTGTACGGGATATCCAATATTAGACCCAAAATGTTGTGTTATAGCGGGCTGTGCAAAGTGCAGATTTGGGTACACAGGTGCTTGGACTTGACAGTAACATGACACAGCACTTAGTATACAAAAAAAAAAAGGTGGCATAGGGAAACCAGGTGAAAATTTGGTTTGGGCGGCGTAACTCAAAGGGAACCGGTTTTGACCATGAAAAGGCTGTCAAGAGAATACCACTGGTGGGGGAAGGTGGAGACTTTAGACGTAGAAACGGACTAGTGAACTGTACTTCCAATTGAAACAACTTTACGAAAGGTGGTTCCAAAGCCGAGAAAACAAAGTTGTCGGCCAACACACGGTTTGGCCGCCAAGGGCTTTTTCGGTCAGCTGTTGTGTAATAACCTGTTGTGCGAGGTGCTGAGTTTCTGCGCACAGGTACTTTGACATGACCGTCACTTGGCACAACACTTATTATAACAAAACGATTTGGCATTGCGAAACCAGGTGGAAATTTAGTTTGGGCGGCGTATCTAAAGGGGAACTGGCTTTGACTGTCAAAGGCTGTCAGATAATACCACTCATCGTGGGAGGTGCACACTTTACAGGTAGGAAGGGACCAGTGGACGGTACTTCCAGTTCGAACCACTGTGCGATAGGTGGCTCTAAAGCCGAGAAAAAAAAATTGTTGTCTACAGAACTCGGGGTGTCAGCGTTTCCACATCCAAAAGGAGGCTGATCAAGAAAGAAAGCACACCACATAAACTTCCATACTCAAACGTCGATTCTCCAGTGATTCTGAGTTTCATTGTTGTTTTCTTTAGATTTATATTTGTCACTTTTTTTACCGTTCGAATCTTTCTTCATGAAGTACAGATTGCGCGCCATACTTGTCCGGAAATATCATCGACACGTACGATGGGGACGAAACTTCTTTGGAGGGCATTCCTCCAACAAAATTGGCACTGCGTACCCGCGAGTGTGGGATGGCATTGCAGTTCGTCCCCTCGGCGCTAACACATGTAGGCGTTACTGGTACGAAAAGAAACGCAGAGCGCAAAGCAGCAGTATAGAATATGTCAGCAGTGCCGACACAGTGGCAGACATGAACGGGAGACCAAATTTCTCGCGTCGTATGGCACGGCTCCATCGTTGTCGCTGTCCCACAAAACATCGGCGAGGTGAAAAACTGTGAAACTTTGTTTCCACGAGATACGACGCATAACTATTGAAGCACTTAATGACGCAGCACAGCCAGCACTTCATGCTGGCTGTGCCCAGCGCAACCGCGCTGGGCACAGCCAGCACAACCAGCATGAAACTTTGTTTCCACGAGATACGACGCATAACTATTGAAGCACTTAATGACGCAGCACAGCCGCACTTCATGCTGGCTGTGCCCAGCGCAACCCAGCGCAACCGCGCCCCTCCGACTTCAATGCGTACCAACGTACGCGGCGTGGTTTCGGTTTAGTTTTCTCTGGGGCTCTCACTGCCTACCTTCCGTACCGGCCGCGCGGCGGCGCGCCAGTCGCGTCGCACGGAGTGTATATATGTATGATATTTTCGGTGTATGCATTTTTTGCTAAGCGCACTCTAAATGTATATATGTACCATTTGTTACTTCGAAAAACTTGAGTATTGTCGCCTGATAACTTTTCTTTAATACTATTGGATCTTGTTTAGTTTACTTGTGCCACTGCTGTTTGTGCAAGAGGGGGGCCGAGGACTCGTCAAGCTGCACGATGCAGCTTTTTTCCTCGGTCGCCCTCTATAAATGGTTTATTGGAAATCAACATTATTATTATTATTATTATTATTACTATTATTATTATTATTATTATATCTATTAACAATATATGGGTACTAATAAAACTAGCTTGCACTCTGTTCCTACTCAACTGTGTGTTCGTAGTAATAAAAGGAGGGACAATAGCGATTCATCTCTAACTTCTAAGACGACCTTGGTTCCCCCAGCTACCTTACGGCATACACTAATTAACACACTTAACTTCCAATAAATATTCTTACAACTGGCCCACTTTGCACAACTTAAAAAGGTGTTCCCTGCGAATATACAATGTAAGTTCATTCGTGATTCATTTCAAGCCTTTCAGCTCTATTAAGACTCGTGTGTAAACCACACGGCAATCCTAATTGGTGTTATGAGAACAGCGATGACTGGTGCATTGCGCCAGTTAGGTATTTCTTCTTCAAGAATACACACCGTATTAAACCTAGTAAAGTAGCAAACTGGGTCATTTGGTGAACGTTGCACATGACGGAGATGAACAGCTAGCTGCAGACGAAGAAAGGACAAAGGAAGAATAGAAGAGTCTTGTTCTAACTGTATCTTTTTTTTTTGTCTTCTTTTACTTGACTGTTTACCTCCATCATGTACATATTAAGTATTTTTATTCACTGGGGATACTGCTTTGCTTATAACGTGCACTGCTCTCATCTGGGCGCTTCGCACCTGTGTTTCTGCAAACTTTTTTTTTTTTTTAAACATCATTAAAAATAGGGCGTTTGAGGAAAAGATACAATACGTTTTTCGGGAACAAACTACCAGCCATGGCGGACGTCAGGAATTTCACAAGGCATGCTAATTAGCAAGACAATGAAATTAAACGTACTAATTACCTTCTTAATCGGTGAAAAACAAACATAGAGTCCTAATTAGAAACTTGCTGTGCGTCATCGGGAACACCAAAATAGATCAATTTTAGGACGGCTAGAACATCATCCTCGTTTTCGCATCGCCGACACTGCACCTGCATGCTCCACGACTTTTAAATTTATCGCACCCCGGCGCTTGCTACGTACTTCAAGTCGTCCTAAAATATTATCTAGGTGCTTTCGATGACGTACAACAAGTTTCTATTTGGAACCCCATGTTTCTTTACACCGATTAAAAAGTTAACAAGTAGACATAACTTAAAGGTTTTGCTAATTAGTATGCCTTTTAAAATCCTAAATCTCCGCTGTGGTGGGAATATTGTTCCCGAAAAGAGTTTTATTTTTTTCACAACAACCCTATTCGTAGGCGTTTTTTTCAAAGTATTCGCAGAAACACCCTGTATATTTTTTTCGGGTCTCGAGGTAAGAGTGCCTCAGTTATTACTGATTCCATTCGATTTCTTTATCTATAGTCTTACATAACTCTCGCGTTGTGTAATCTGAATTAGGAGTTTTATTTGTACGTATAGTACACAATACGTATAGTACACAATTTTCTGCGCAGGTTCACAGGCGTCTTCTTCACGATGACGCCTTTGGCGTCGGCGAAGCGCTAAACGAGACCTACTACAATGGAACTGGCGTGGTTGTGCGCGGCAAACACCGCGTCTTCCTCAGTCCCGTGGAACAAGCAGCGCAGATGCATCGGACCCTCGCCCAAAGCATGTACATGGCTCCGGTGCTGTCATTTGCGCCGGCTAAGCTTCCGGACTACCTGCAATGCTGCAGGACAACTGTGAGTCACCGGTATATTTTCCCTAACATTCGCTCTAACGTTCGCAAAGTAACAGCGTTACAAAAACTTGTAGTCTTTGACGGGATGATTACCGAAGGTCGTCTTTATCTTATTTATACCCGGTCTCCAGCACAAGCTCTTTCTCTTTCATCGTGCTTTAACGGTGCCTGCACGCTCAAAGTTCACAAGATGCGGATTTTTTTTTTTTTTTTTTAGGTATACGCACGGAGCTTGCGTTCGAAGCGGGACAACTGAAAAACCTACCTGTTGGGGTCATTATATAAGTCAGTGACTAGCTGGGACGCTGCTGGTGTAACCACTCACTCGACAAATGGCTAGGCTTATGTTACTGCATATATTTTAAACCATGGTTGGAACTCAAAAGGCAGCGTTTGGTACACGATTGACTGCATTCCTAGGGTTTACTTGGAGTCACAACTACTATTTATCGTGACAAGCAAGCGTTGGACTTGCGTCGCTTAGTTACCGCTGTAGCTTTCAGTCGAATCCCGATGTTAGCTCCCGCAACCCGTAGATTTCTTAAACATAGCTATAAGCGCTACTCATGTGTACTATACAGAGTCAATTCGTAAACAAATCTCACGGCAGCGTCTCGGGCTGTAGACTAGGAGACGATGCCGTTGAGGGCGCGAAAACAGCGGATCCAATGAGAAAATGTATGCAGAAACAAAACAAAAATAAGCTATGTTAAAGCGAAATCAGCCAGGACGTGCGCGACCTCGTTAGTAAGTGTGCGTACAACACAGCGACGAGTGGATCCAGGCGTCCTTGTCGTCGTTAGCGCAGGGCCATGCTGGGGACACTGGATGTCGGCTCGAGCGGTATTTGCATCAGAGAAACACCCGCCTGAGGCTGTTTTGCTCGATCATAGCCAACTACAATCTTGCCTGAGAGGCGAGGAAAGCGAGCTGACGTATTTCTATTCCGAGGCTCTGGTAGCCCTTTGCAATAATATACGTTCAACCGGAGCCGATGTCGTTTGGGGCAGCGTCGGGACGCGACTCTGGCCACTAAATAAGGTGTGCTTCGGAGTACCGACACTTTACCGACAGTGCAGTGCTTTGCGATCCTGGCGGTTGGTTTCTAGAAGTTCCGACAAAGAGTATCAGCGAACGCTAGTGTCGCTGTAGTCGCGATACGCGGTGCTCGGAAAGCGTCTCCGACAGGTGTGCTTATCACGTCCAAAAAAGCGGTCCTTCAATTTCCGCCTAATGACGTCGTACGGTCGCGATTATAATGACGGCGCCACAGCCGCGGTGGTTCATGTGGCAGACGCCTGTTCTGCTGCAGGTCGCTCTCCAGTGTGCCAGCCCACGGAAGCTTCGGCAGGGAGTTGGGACGCCGCGACGAAAGCGACGCTCATGTTCGCTCGTGCTTGTTGCCAGCATTTCTGTACGACAAACCGCCAGGATCAGATCTGACAACATGGTGTCCCGGCTTTTGTAACGTAATTCGTTGCCCCAATAGGTACCCCTTTCCATGTATGGGACTAATGCGGAGAGCAAGTCGTCTGCTTCTTGCGCAGGAGTTGCGGTGACGTCAGAAAGACGCCGAGCCCTGATTGGCTTGCATTGGAAGGATGGTGGGTAGACCTCAATGCTAGGTGCCTTGAGGTCTACCCCCTATTTTTTTCGATCAACTAATAAGAGTTTGGCGTTCTGATATCATCGAAATTCTGTGCAACAAGCAGACGAACTAAACAGAACGCTAAACACACCACTCGGAGACACGTTCCAGGCAGGCACCGAAGCGTTTCGGAGGTCTATTGCGTTAGTATAGAATCAATAGGGAGTTTTTGTGGATCGTTTTCGCCGTCCCGCAACGGCTCTCCGCAACCCGCTACGATACCCGCAACTCTACATTCAAGACTACCGGCGCGCAGGCGCAGCAGCGGCTTCTTCGTTGCGGGGGGCTTAGCGGAGGGGGAAACGCGGTCTACGGAAACTCCCTAATGTTCCCTGTTGTCAACGCAGCTTTTGCCTACGCTCCTGGCGGAACATGTAAGAAGTATACTTCCCGTCGTCTCTTCTTAATAAAATAGTTCAGAACAAAGCAAGAACGGTCTGCCGCTCTACCTTATCCTCTCTATACCTTATCCGCACTACCGCTAAAAAAAATACTTCAGAAACACAACTGTAGTAAAGTGTCCATACGGCTCTATAACTGTTAAAATGGCGGAGCCCACGAGCCGCTCTCGCAAGTCAACAAATATCACGGGACGTAAACGGAAGACTCAACATTGTGGCGATGTCGGGCATTGAGGGGAACGAGTACCGGTACTCTAAGCGTCGTTTTCTAGCTGACCTTGGGCCAACGAGCCAAAGTAATCCGATTGTGCAACGGCTTCGGATTTGCCACCTTTCTGTCTGTTCCGTGTCTTCACGTCTTCAGTCTGCTCATGTCTTCCTGTGTGTGTCCTCGAGCCTTTGAATGATCCTTGATTCACGGGGAAACGAGAAGAAAATGCGGTCTCCAAAACTCATCTCCGAAGCCGGAGATTTAGTCGAACCCAGGTCCTGACACCCCAGAAGCTGTGCTTCTGGGGTGTCTGGACGTTTCTTCTCTGTTACACCTGGCTTATCTGAAACTAAAAGGGCAGTCTTATGGTAATCTTTATTATTTGCGAGTTGTCCGCTGTCTACTTAATTTCGATGTTCCATTTTAACATTTATATAGCTGGATGACTCTAGTAACTCTGGAGTTTCCCGAAGCGCACGGAAGCAATACCACTTTAAATGTTAAAACACTATATAAAATCAGTACGTTCAAACCCGAAAAAAAAATGTAATTATCATTCGAGTTCATATTATTGATTATCACTTTGTTGCCCAATCGAAGCCTATTTTTCATATACCTCATGCATTACAGCTCACATCGCACATCTTAGAGAGAAACAAAATCAACTTTATCGTCGACTTTGTTTATATTTCACAGAGATATTTTGTAGCGTTCATAAAGTAATATAAAAACGTTGCATACATTTAGCCTGGTCATTTCCGTTCAGGCGACGTTACAAACCTTGGAAACATGAAAACAAGGAAGCCCCAGTAGGCGGAGACTGGTCCGCCTACAGCATTAGAGGCATCTCCACCATTCTTGGAGATGCCTCTAATGAGAAGCATGACCTTAAACAAACATCGACATTCAAGAAAAGTCAGTGCTCCTTTTATACGTACCATAATGCTATGGTCATTTATTTAATGGATTCCCATGTAATTATTTTCTTGATGACACACAGAATGAAAGAACAGAACCTATTAGAAGAAGACAGGAAAAGACAGACAGGACAGCGCTCGTCTAGTCGTCTTCTTCTAATAATAATCCTCGTCCTTGCTTTCCATGTTCTTATTATATGAAACCGACTAGCCCGCCACATGATTTTGATTTATGATTTTATATGCAGTTTCCAGAACCTTCAGCATTCACAAAGAATCGGTGTTTTATGTGATCTAACAACACCACTCTTCGACTGAACGTTCTCCCGTAATATTGCTTTACAAGACGAGCTTTAATTACACGTGTGTTATTTTCGTCTTCCACAGTACTCGGCACTTGCAGCTCCGCTGCCTCCGAACGTTCACCTCCTAACTTTGGAGCAGTGGAACAACGAGACGGTTCTCCTGCGCTTGGAACATTTCTACGAAATTAAGGACAACGCGGGCAACCTCTCCGCGGCCGCCAACTTCAGCTTGCAGGTACGGCTAACATTGCTTGAGACAGTGCGCCATAATGGAGTGTTCCTACGTCGCAAAAGCACCCAATGGACACCAACGATTCCGGTTGTTTATTTCTGCGAGCCGTTTCGTGATTTTCCGAAGTGACGTATCGACATATGCTGCTTCCTTAGTATTACCGGGTTACTTAAATGTTTATTTTTATATTCAGTGTAGTTTTATATTTGAATACAAATACATGCCCCAAAATAACGTTATTTGAACAAGTGACGAAATTTGTACCTGCGTCGCAAAAAATTAAATAAAAAAAAAGTAATATTAGAATTTTGTCTTAGAAAAAAAATTAGGTTGTTGCATTTTAACTTAATCTAGATATTAATTTTATGTGAACATCCAGTTTTTGAATTTTGTTTCAGTTCGCGTAGAGTCATTCGTGCCATAGTGTTAATCATTCAAGGACTTGGGAAACGCTAAATTTATGAAACATAATTCAGAAAAACCCCGACACTAGAGTAAAGTAAGGGACAGCAGAAACGTGATGTCTCAACGGGATTTTTTACAGTTCTGTTCATTTTAGTAATCAGCTCGTTTGTGTACGCCCTTTTTTAATGTTATTTAGGCAATTGATGTGTCTGCAACATGTTGCGCTGTAGAAATTTTTCATTTGTCGTGATGTGTTTTTTAATGTTTTTTTTTTTAATATTTGTCATCAGAAATTTCTATCCTCCACCCCGGAATTGTAAATTATTTCCAATTTTACGATTTTTGCAGGCTGTACTTGAGCAATAAATATATTGTTGTTATTTGCAGGCTGTTTTCAAACAACCCATTACTGGCATCACTGAAATGAACCTAGCAGCCACAGCACCGAAAAAACAAATAACACGCTTGGAGTTCACGCCTGATGGAGAAGCCAGAGGTATAAAAAATATTTCCTTTTCTCTTAAGGTACACTTACCAGTTAATGAAGATGTGAGTTCGTATTCCTCCCCACTGTTACCAATTTGTTTCTTCTGAACTTCTTGCTTTAATTTTCATTTTTATTTTAGTCAAATTATTCATTTAAATTTTCCTGAAAAAAATGTCCTTACTGTGGCTGTCGAACCTTGCGAAATCGAAATGTTTTAATTCTGAGACGATCATCTTCAAACAGAATCGAAACGTTTCTATTAAATTACACCTGGCTTATCTGCAACTATTACGGTAATTTTTATTATTCGCGAGTTCTCTGTTGTCTACTGAATTTCGATGTTTCGTGGATGACTCTAATAAAACTGGGGTTTCCCTAAGTGCCCTGAAGCGATAGTACTTTAAATGTTAAAACACTATATGAAATCAGTATTTCAAGCTCGAAAAAAAATGTAATTATAATTTCAGTTCAGATTGTTTTATTGTCACTTTGTTGCCCAATCGAAGACGATTTCGCACATACCTTATGCATCACAGCTTACATCGAACATTATAGCAAAAAAAAAAAAAAAAAAAAAAAACTTTACCGTCGCCTTTTTGTTTATCGTTCATAGAAATTTTTTGTCTTTTATGTAGAGGTCATAAAGTTTTCAGGTCCGTTCAGGCGACGTTACAAACCTTGGAGATATCAGAACAAGGAAACCCCAGTAGGCGGAGACTGGTCCGCCAACTTCGACTACCGTACTTTCTCTTAGTTTCCTAGTGAACATTGTCACCGTTTATTGTTCGTAAAATAATTCGCTTCATCCAGGTATTACGACCCGTTTCGCTCGCAATCCGACTGCAGCATCAAAAATACATTATCCCAGCGCTCGTTCTCTGACGGCGTTTTTTTTTTTTTTTTTCTTTACTACGCCCGCCTAAACAAATCATCCATGAAAACAAAAAGCGCAGGATCGGGGCCTATGCGGAGCGAAAGTTCGTCTGCTTCTTTTTGCAGGGGTTGTGGTGACGTCAAAACGCTGAGCTCTAATTGGCTCTGATTGGAGATTAGTGGATAGACCTCAAGGCAGCTTGCTTTGAGTTCTTCCCCCTATCCTTCAATCAGATCCAATCAGAGCTCGACGTTCTAACGTCACCACTACCCCCACAAAAGAAGCAGACGAAGTTGCACTCCGCATTCATTGCGCATGCTTGGTTTAGTCTGGGACAGCGAACGCAGAAACGATGAGCGCCTTGACGATGGATGCACTTTGGTGAATGTTTGATTGACTGTATCGGATTCTAGCATCAACTGTGATCGGAATTAAAGCGAAACGATGTTTAGATTCGAGTCCCTCTCGGCGAACATTGAGAGAGAACTCTGGTCTCTAACATAAGGCGGTACCTCCGAGCCGCCACAGGGTGGTCTTCTTGGCCTACCGATGTCGCTTTGGTGATACTGCCTCGTAACAATCATGTTTTCTCGGTACCCATTGGTGACAAATAAAACAAAATAAAAACTAAAACCAGGCGGTGTCATGTGTAGTTTACCAGCATAATCTTTTTTTTTTTTTTAATCTAGTAACACGGTTTCGACAGACCACTTGTCAGAACTCGATTTGCGAGCGTTTTTGTATTAGTAATATATTTCTTTCTTCTTTGTCTAGGGAGTGTCAAGCCAAGCAATTCTTTGTATGGCCCCGCCTTCAACGTCTACTTAGCCCCGATGCAAATCAGGACGTTCTTGGTCACATTTTCGCCTTCATTTAATTTGGGTTATGACTATCTCAATGCTAAATGATCCGAACGGGGAGTACCTTGCGATAGGACCAACCTGACAAAAATGATGGAACCAGTAGGAAATGGTGAATAAAGATATATATTCGGGGGCATGTAAACGCGTCATACTCTTTTGCCATTAATATTCGTTTTTTCACTAGTTTTCTGTCGATTTTAACGGCTAATACTGTAATTCTTTGGAGCGATAACCAGATACACGGGACTCTCCGCACCCGACGTTTCTTGAGCTATTTTTAGATACCCAACACGAATTAAAAAACCTTGGGAAGCACGCTTTTTTAGAACAAATTATGGACACCAAAGTTTAAGATATACTTTGCCGACTACCCTTAACCAGCTTAATAGGCAGGGAATTGAACTTAAGGGTCTATCGGTGGGCATCTTACGGAAAACGTTTATTTTAAATTTTTATTTTGAACCGAACTGTCCGCGATAAGTCCTAAAATATGTTGGAATGATGTTTTCTTTCGCGTTTATTTCAGTAAGACTAACTTTCTGTATGTGTTTTCACAATGGTATGAATTGCATCAGTATGCTACTTATCTTGTATGGGGTTGGTTATCTTTAGTAATTTGTTTTTCACATATGCAGCGCATATGTCATGTTTTAGTTTTGCATAATTTATTTTGGTGCCTGCATCGCGACTGCTGGTTTAGGTGACTCGAAGCTCGTCAAGCGGTTTTTCACAGCTTTTTTCCCTTGTCATCTTTTCAACATTGTTTTTGTCTGAAAAAATAAAGGACTATCATTATTGACTTGCTGTGGTGAATTTCCGACCTATAGCATAACGTAGGATTTTTTCACTACAAGCTACGAAAGGACGCCGCAATTCGGGTGGTCCGATACATCGGAAGGTTGTCAATGTTAACCGGCGTTGAGCCTATCTAAGATTGCAGATATAGCGAGTGTTCAGGCGAGCTGATTTATGTCTCTGGTTTTTCAAAAATGTTCTCCATTTTTTAAGAGTAGGTTATTGTTTGGAAAGTTCTGCAGATCGCCAGATAATCAAAAAAAAAATCGTTGGAATGGTTTAGACCTAGAACTAACCGCCGAATTCAGAAACCTCACTCAAACTACATTCAGACTGAAGGGCCCCTCCACTTCCTCGAGGAAGGCGCGAGGGCCGGCGCTGGCCAATCGCGAGGACGGATCCGCCGTCGCGATTGGCCAGCGCCGGCCCTCGCGCCTTCCTCGAGGAAGTGGAGGGGCCCCTCAGTTTGAGTATAGTTTGAGTGAGGTTTCTGAATTCGGCGGTAAGAAGAGATTGAATAAACGGGCGATACATTTTATCGAAATATTATTCGGAGACACGGGTGGGCGTGGTACTGTTGCAATAATTTAACTAAACTACCCGTGTCTTCGGCAGCTGCCAGGGCACAGCGTTTCGCGCACCGGAAATCACGGAGGAGAAAACCAGCTCAACTCTGTAGATATAATGGCGATTGATGGCGCTGGAATGCGAGGACTGATGGCGCACCCTGGCGCGCCTCCGGTAGCGTAGCTTCGTGATTTCGGGTGTCACTTATTATACCACGGAACTATATAGATCACAAAATCATCAGCTGAGGCTGGTGACTTTGTAACCACGTCAAGTAGGAAAACATGCGGCGAGCGAAGACACTTGTATTTCCACAATGGAAGGATGTGGGGAAACCATCGATACGGACGACCGGCAACGCTCCTCAGGAGTATATACGGCCCCTTGAATGGGTCTCTGACTGGTGTGTTAAGCATCCGCCCACGCATCCAAAGTGGTTTCCACGTGACAAATAATGACGTCACAAAAGGTGGAGTGTCAGGCGGTCGAATGTCACTATCCTGGCGGTTACGCGTACACCTTCTGGGAAAGAAAACACGCGAGATAACACGAGTGTCGCTGTCATCACGGCGCCCCAACTCGTGGCTGCCGAAGCTTCCGTGGTCCGTCAAGCTGGAGAGCGACCTGCAGCAGAACACGTGTCTGCCGCATCCACCACCATGCATGGTCGTTGTGCCGCCGATCTCCACCTGAGGACGTCATCAGGCGGAAATCGAGAACTAACTTTTAGGGGCGAAGTTCCTTAGGGCCGAAGGGGCGAAGCTCCTTGTCCTTAGGGGCGAAGCTCCTTGTCCATCCGTCCGGCATCCGTGCTCACATCGATTCCGGATGCCTCCGGGATCGGCCCACTTAAAAAAAAAAAACAAAAAAAACAAAACAAAGACGCACGCCCGCACGGGGGTTTGAACCGCTTGCTTACGAGGCAGACGTCTTAACCACTACGCTACAGTCCAACGTTGCATTAGTCGCTCAACGTCTATACAGCAGAGGGCGCTGCGATCAAATGCGTATACACTCTCAACAAAAGGGTAGTCGTAGGGTATTTGGGATAGTCAGAAGCCGTCACAGATATCGCTACACCCCCTTAGTAATACTAACGACACCATGGGTAGTCACGGCATGCAGTCAACAGGTAGTCACAGTGAGCACCCCCAAAAGAAACATGGCGGCTGGCAAGCGACAGTGGAGCAATACGAGTAAGGCCTAGCGAGCTGGACTGCTTTTTGCTAAAATACGATTCTCAAGCGCTTACGCCCGTTCGCTGCCTTCCGTGCGCACTAAAGCACTCCAAAACGCGCCTCGAAGCACCGGCACCGCACCTATTACGAGTAGGGGCGGCGATGTGAGGGGTGGGGGGCATTCGAGGGGGTTTGTCCGCGACTGCTTTCGGCGCGGCCGGCTGCATTTACTTCGCGGCCAGAAAACATTCAAAGAAGGAATCGTATAGCGACAAATGAAATGATGTCTTTATTGAACAGAGAATCTGCTTGCTGTGCTTGCCGCAAGTGACCCGGCGTTTTCGGTTGACAGCGGCGAGGCGAGGCATCACCGATTCAAGCGGCGTCGGTTCCGATCGTTCAACGCTCCTGCTCGTCTGTTAGCATTCGTTATCCACTTTCAAGTTTCTGGTTATCCCCACCGCGTCTGTGCACGCACTATTCACCGCACGGAACACCCATTCAACTGGCTTTGGGACTGATCCCACTGGGACGAGAGGCCGAGAACCGAACTCTTTGTGGCTGCTCCGTGGAGCCATGGAGCGCCTCCATGTTTTTCACTCAAATAAGTAGACTCATGAACGCGCGACTTCTTGAATTGGGCGGCGACACACGCCACCTAACGGACAGCGCTCAAACTAAGAAAAAAGAAACCACCAGTCTTTGCTGTGAGCGCCTCGCCAGACATGCACGTACTATATATTCCGCACCACACTTCACACATACGCGACATGCAGACACCATACAATATTATACATGAACGCGTTCACAAACAGCACAAGGTACAACATGAGACATCGACACTTTACATTCCTATTTTTTTTTTCTTTATTGCCGACATTGACATAGTGCAACCAAGAAGTACAGTGCTGTAAAAAAAATGTGAAGGTGTATGGAAATCCAAAGAACCATAAGACGGACTACAGGCGGCTCATCGCGAAGGTGGTCAAGGAGGCGGGGAAGGACCCTGTGGTTATTGCGGGAGACTTCAACGCCCCTCACCCGGGATGGGGTTACAAGTACGTTTCTCCGAAAGGCAGAAGGCTGGCGGAAAGCATCAACCAGGAACGCCTAACATTGCTTACCGAGGTTGATCAGCCAACCAGGACGGGCACGAGCTCATGCAGAGACACCTGTCCGGACCTGACGCTTGTCAAGAACGTGGCGAACGCTGAGTGGACTAACCTCATGGAGCAACTCGGTAGCGATCATTGTATTCTCGAAACGACTATTCACGAGTCCGGATACACAAGAAAGACGGGAAAGGCAAGAATAACGGATTGGGACTGATGGCGAAAACAGAGAGGGAAAGGTGCAGCTAGCATCGAGAACATCGAGGATTGGTCTTCGGAGGTGATCGCCAGTGTCAAGCCGTTCGTGGCTGAAGTTGAACTCTCAGAGAAGACCCCAGCAGTGGACACGCGTCTGCTTCATCTTTGGAAAGCACGACGCGGGCTGACCAGGAGATGGAAGAAACAGCGCTACAACAAGAAGCTGAGGAAGAGGATTCAAGCACTCACAGAGCTGGCCGAGGACTATGCGGTGGACTTGGCTAGGAAGAACTGGTATGGCCTGTGTGACTCTATACGGGGAAGCCTAGGCACGGCTCAGGCATGGAGGATGCTTAGGGCCTTAATCGATCCGAGTAGGGCAAAGGCGGTGACGGGCGGCCGTTTAGCGGAACTGATACATAAGTTACCCGGGGACCGCAAGCAGATCATGGATCGGCTGGCGGAAAGGTATTTGTGTTTGGAATCCACAGGAGAAATCGTGGAGTATGAAGGGCAGGAAAACTCTGAATTAGACAGGCCAATTACTGTCGCGGAATTGGAGTATGAGCTCGGGGTTATGAGGAAGGGCGCAGCGCCCGGACCGGACTCCCTCACAGCGAAACTCCTCTACAACTTAGGGGAAGGGGACCTGAAAGAGCTGGTACGCCATTTCAACGAACATTTCTGGGAGCGCGGGCTTACTCCAGATAGTTGGAAGGTTGCTGACATTCCCTTCATTCCAAAACCCAAAAAGGAGCTCAAGCTAGAAAATCTGCGGCCGATTTCGCTTACATCTTGCCTGGGCAAGGCGTTCGAACGAGTCATAAACTCCAGGGTTATGAAATATCTAGACAAGGAACAACTCCTTCCGAACACGCAGTTCGGGTTCAGACCTCACACATCGACGCAGGACATACTCTTGTGGATATATAAGGATATACTGGAGAATCCGAGGAGCGGCCAAACGAGATGCCTTCTAGCTTTAGACTTGAAAGGCGCGTTTGATAATGTTTCGCACGAAAGCATACTTAGGGGTCTCAGCACAGTTAACTGCGGGAGAAGAACCTTCGAATATGTCCGCAGTTTCTTGACGGACAGGACAGCCACGTTGACGTTGGGAAGTATGCAATCTGGGACATACAGACTGGGTTCCAGGGGTACGCCGCAAGGGGCAGTACTTTCCCCGTTGCTGTTCAACCTTGCGCTGCGGGGTCTACCAGAAGCGCTGAGGGCGGTTCCGAACGTGGAGCATGCCATCTACGCGGATGACATCACCCTGTGGTGCAGGGAGGGCAGTGACGCGGAAATAGAAGAGAAGCTTCAGGCGGCGGCGGACATCGTCGGAGAGTACGTTATGAGATGCGGGCTTAAGTGCGCCCCGGAGAAATCTGAGCTTCTTGTCTTCCGAAACCCTCGCGATAAGCTAGTCGATCACATAGACGTGGTGATAGATGGGGTCCGGGTCCCAAAACCAGCGGAGGTTCGGATTCTGGGCCAGCTTCTACAACAGGGGAGGGGGAACAAGTCGACTATCGACAGACTGGACGCCATGACCACGCAGGTGTGCGGTATGATGAGGCGAATTAGGAACCGTAGACACGGTATAAAGGAGAAAGAGGCAATACAGTTGGTCCAGGCCTTCATTATTGCCAGACTGACGTACGGCACTCCGTACCTGAACTTGAACAAGGCGGAGATGCAAAAGCTAAACGTACTGATAAGGAGAGCGTACAAAAACGCGCTGGGGCTACCGGAGCGTACGGCGACCGAGAAACTGCTTAAACTTGGGGTGCATAACACCATAGAAGAACTTCATGAAGCTCAACAAGTGTCACAGCTGAAGCGACTCTCTTCCACAGTGAATGGAGCGTGGCTTCTGGACAAACTGGGAATGGCAGTACCCGGCGGTTCTCACGGGCCCGGAGACGCGGGGGAAGAGCTGCCGGCTG